GGACTTGTATACATGCATATAAGTACAACCAATGGACATAAAACTCTGGGGAGGGAGGGGATACATGGGAGAGAAGGAGGGGGGCAAAAAAAATCAATAAAATATGTAAAATAAATAAATAAATAAATAAATAAATAAATAAATAAATAAATAAAAAATAAATAAAAAATAAATAAAAAATAAAAAAAAATTAAAAAAAAATTAAAAAAAATAATTATAATGTGCCTTGGTGTTGGTCTTTTGGGATTCATTTTTCTTGGGACTCTGTGAGCTTCTTGGATTTGTGTGGGTATTTTCCCTATATCATAGAAGTTTTCTGCATTATTTCTTCAAAGAGGTTTTCTATTTCTTGCTCAGTATCCTCTCCTTCTGGAATGCTTATTATTCAGATGCTGTTTTGATTTGTGTTGTCCCAAAGTTCCCTTAGGCTCTCCTCCTGCTTTTTAATTTTATTTTTTCAAGAAGCTGCTCTACTTGGGTATTTTTTACCACCTTGTCTTCTAGCTCACTGATGCGGTCCTCTGCTTTTTCTAGTCTACTCTTGATGCTTTCTATTGAATTCTTTATAGCAGCAATGTCATTTTTCATTGATTTTTTTATTCTTCTTCAATTCCTCTTGGTTCTTATTCATATTGTTGAATTTGTCTTCCATTCTTTTCAGTCACCTTATGACCATTTCTCTGAATTCTTTCTCTGACAGGTTGCTTGCCTCCATTTTGTTTTCTTTCTTTTCTGGTGATGCCTGTTTTTCTTTCATATGCAGGCTGTTTCTTTGTCTCCTCATAGTCTCTCTTCTCCACATGTCTGGTTATGTAGTTCTCTCTCTCCTGCGTTTATTTATAGGCACAAATTACAACACACAAGGCACTGAACACAAATGTATTCACAATACTAATAACCCCAAATAAAGGTGACCACCATAAAAAGAGAATTAGGAGATAAGAAAGAAGAAGAGGGAAAAAAAGAGTGTAAAAATGAAATTGAGAAAAGGGGGGAAAAAGTAAGGGAGAAAATAAAGAGAATAAGAAAGAAAAGGGGAACAAACTATATATATATATATATATATATATATATATATATATATATATATATATTGAGAAAGAGAGAGAGAGAGAGATAGAAACTCCAATAGAACAGCCACTAATCCCAGCAAATGCCAGCAACAAGTACTTGGAAATTAATACAAATTACAAACAACAACTAATATCAAGCAAGGTGAGGGGAAACAGAAGCAAAAAACAAACAGAAACAAAACAAAAAAAATAAGCAAAACAATCTCACAAAACATAAAAAAATGATATAATCAATATTCAAGAAAAGAACAGAAAGAAAAACAATTTTTTGGATAGTTATGACAGAGAAGAGAGAGGTATGTATGGACTTGGAGCAGGGGATTGGAAATTAGATATATAAATAGGGTGAAAAAATTTTTTAAATATATTTTATTGATTTTTCACAGAGAGGAAGAGAGAGGGTCAGAGAGCTAGAAACATTGATGAGAAAAAGAAATCAATCAGCTTCCTCCTGCACACCCCCTACTGGGTATGTGCCCGCAACCAAGGTACATGCCCTTGGCCAGAATTGAACCCGGGACCTTTCAGTCCGCAGGCCAATGCTCTATCCACTGAGCCAAACTGGCTTCGGTAGTAGGGTGAAATTTTAACAGGGGGTACAAAGAAAGAATAGGGAAAATATAAAGCAAGAAAAGAGTAAGAGAAACAGGACATAAAAAAGGGAAAAGTTAGGAAGAGAGTGATGGCATAAAGGTAGAGTTGAAATAGAGTAAAACGATGATAAGGGAAAGATGAAAATAGAATGTAGAACACTAATCCCAAAGTAAAATAAAGAGAAAATAAAATTACATGTAAAAAAAGGTAAATTAGTAGTAGTAGTAGTAGTAATACTTATTGAAAATAAAAATGTAATAATTAAAAAGATAAAATCAAGTTAGAAAAAAAAGAAAAAATAGTTTCCTAAGTAAAAGATGAAAAGAAAATGTGCAGTAGTGAAGGTCATTCACTTCTTCTATTCTGTTTTGCACGCTTGTTTTCCAGTCAAGACAATATTGCAGTTCCCTGAATTCCACTGCTCCTCAGTGTTGTAAGCTAGTCCCAATTTTTAAGCAGGCAATGTCTTAATTTCCTGTATTCCTTTATTTGTGATTACACAAGAGTCAATTTGTGATTCAGCCCCTGGGTGGCAGTGTTTCCGAATTGATCTCCGTGTCTGTAGGTCCTCTCTAGCCTGTACTTAAATCCTGATTTCCCTGTGGCACTCAATACCAGTTTGTGAGAGTGGATTGCCCTAGAGCTGGCTCTCCGATGGTCACTCCCCACTCCAATCCCCAGGTTTCAGAAAAATAACTTTCCCCTGCAGTCTCCCAGGGTGTCCCCAACTGAGTGATCCTATATATTGGGCTCAGTAATCAGAACCAAGGCTTTGAAGAGGAAAAAGCCTAAGTGTGTGAACAATAGGGTTGCACGCAAGTCTGTGCAGTCCCTCTTTTCCTCCTTGGGTCTAAGCAGGTGGCACACTTTTAAAATTTTTTAGGCTGTTCTTTTCTGTCAGATCAAAATGGGCTGCTTTTTAGAGATCCCTTCTGTTAGCAGCTATGAGGAACCCTTCCACATTCATGGATCACTCCAGCCCCAACAGCCACAGGTTTTTCTAGGCATAGACTTCCCCATGTCCTCCAGCTCCTGCAGTGCATGCATCTCTCTCCCACAGGGACCAGAGATCTCACCTTATCTCAGACGAAATCTGACCTTTCCTGGTGAAGTGTACAGCTCCTATGAATCCGCATGTTTGCGCCAATTGGGGACCAGTGTTCTCGGGTTCACAGTTGTTCAATGGGTGCCGCAGTTGTAGATTTTCAGGCTTTTGATAACATCCATTTTCCCCTTCAAGGAGGTATATTCTCTGCGTCCAAGCTCATCGCTCAGCTCTGGGAAGGATCCCAGCAGCAGTGGAGCTGCCAGGTCAGGGAACTCTATCTAGCACTTCCTCACCTTCTCCTGGAGCATAGCTGTGTCTTAACTCGCCAACAAATACTCCCCGTGTGATCCTCAGCTGTTCTTTCTGCTCCATGACAAGGCTCTGGACCCATCTGTCTATTCTGCCACCATTTTTTCCTCTCTATTCTCTTTAACAATTTGTTTCCCTTTCATATGATTCTAAATATTTGCAACAATTTCTGGCAGGTGGCAAACCTGACATATGTATGCCTCACCTTTTTTCTTCTTCACCCTTTGCAGTGATCAACTATTCCTGATTTTTGGCTCACTCCCAGCTTCACCCATTTCACCCCATTATCCATAGGAGCATACTCAGACTTATAGACTACTGATACTACCATGAAGATAGTCAGAATCATGCATCTGTGTGTTGTCTGTCCAGGGAACTAGCAAACACATGGTAGGGCAAAATAGAAGAGATACGGAGAGAGAGAAGAAACTGGTAAATCCTGAGGTACCTATTGAGTGGATCTGAGGCAGCTACCTTCTGCTTGCCAACTATAAAATTCATCTTAGTGCTTTTAGAGTTTAGGGCAGCCTGAGCTGCCATAGCTTCCATGGACAGGACAGAGAACATTGCATGAAGTGCTTCACTTCAGAATCCAATAGACACATTCTACCAGGTGGCAGCATGCATTGGTTTCTGATTTGAGATTCAGAACTGATATTTCAAATAAGTTTTGCATTCAGTTTGACCTTCAGGCCTTTTGAATAGAAATCCTATTCAACATTCAGTCTGAGTTATTTGACACACAACTGCGGATGTAGAGAACTGCAAATAGAAACCAAAGCCTGCTTTGAATCAGACCATTCTCAGACACACATTCTCCCCCAATAAAAACACAACAAAAGAGTCCACATTAAAAAACAAAACAAAACAAAACCTTGGGCCTAGAAAGCTAAGGGCTATTCAGCTAGTTTTCAGTACCTATGGTAATACTCTTAGTACCTAAGAGAAAGAAAACTACAAAGAGGATTTGTATAGTGCCTTCTCAACCAGTTGAGCCAGGTCACATCAAGAGAACAACAGGTAATGTGCCACAACATTTAGTGTCTTTCACAAGCTTACATGTAAGAAATCTTCACTGCCTCCTTTACTCTCGTAATAGGCTTAAATGTTGTTTGCCAAAATCTGTACTCCAGAAAGTCCAATTTTAAGCAATAACAAAACAGCTTTGATTCAATTTGCTTGGAAAGTCTTCATCCACTTATGTAATGAACTCTTCTGTATCTTGGGGCCCAGAATGTGCTTGCTTTTGGCTCAGAGCAGAGAAAGCTCTTTCTCACTCACTCTGCTTTTTTTGATTTTTGCCTCTTCATAGAGAATCCTTCAGTCATGCCCACAGCTGTAAGCCCTCATCTCTTATAAGCAGGGCAAAAAGGATTGGAAAACATATCATAGTCTCTATTTGGAATGCTCCTGGGGCCTGCAGGACTCTAGACCACACCAAGATAGAAATAATTACCACTGAGAAGGATATTGTAATCATCATATCTCTTCTAGTATTGACCACCAAGAATAAACACAATTCTTCATTTGAGGGTCAAAGAACCAAGTTCCTAGATGGTAGAAGGAAGCCTATTCTCATGGCAAGGGTCCTGGAATAGAAGTCTGACAACCTGGCTTTCTGATTATGTAACCCATACAAGATGCTTAGCTCTTCTGAGTGTTATTCCTCCCATCTGCAAAATCAATGGGGTCAGATATTTTATCATTTCTATGTTTAGTCCATGTTATTATAAATATATGAAATATTGTTTGAGGGATAAGACATTACTTCTAGAACCAAAATGTAACCTTGAATGAATGGTCCAAATTATATTCAAGTCATATGTGCTTCTCAAGAAGTGACAGGAAACTCAGCATTGTGAGCCTCCCCAGTCAAACTATGGAAATGATTTGAAATTACCACTGCTTTGAATGGAGCTAGGAGACCTATAGGAGGAAATGAATGTTATAACTTATGTTTTTTTTTTCCCCTTTAGGGATTTGGAATTGCAGGAGAAAAAGGAGAAAAAGGCATCTCTGGTTTGCCAGGACCTAGGGTAGGTAGGGTAGGAACCTTGAATGTTGCTTGCCTGGGTCTGTTAAGTCACCTGATCCATTTTATTTTCTGTTTCCATATTTATGTTATGTAACTTTATGGCCACTTAAGCTTTTATTTTTTTAATAATTATTTTTGTTTTAGCTTTAGACACTTTTTTTTTAATCCTCACCCAAGGATATTTTTCCATAGATTTTTAGAGAGAGTGGAAGGGGAGAGACAGAGAGAGAGAAACATTGATGTGAGACAAATACATCGAATCATTGCCTCCCACATGCACCCAAACAGGGTCAGGAATCAAGACTGCAACCGAGATATATGCCCTTGATCAAAATTGAACCCAGGACCCTTCAGTACATTGAGCCAAAATTGATAGAACCACTTAAGCTTTTCTTTCTCTTCCTCAGCCTTCTGGCAGGCCCCTAAGATTACCTTCTCTCCACTTTTACCCATTCCCTTGAAGTAATGGCTATTTTGAATAAAGAATGATGTACCCCCTATATAGGTGACTATTTACCCCCCTTATTCCCATTCTGGGCTAAAGAATTATGTGACTGTTGTCTTGCTTTTATTTCATTCTATCTTGTGGGAATATGGGAAAGGGTGAGAGTTGGGGGTGTGCAGAAATGGAAGAAGAGGTCCAAGTGCAATTTTTATAGAACAGAAACAAGCCTAAGAAATTCTAGATTGTGGGGATGTTTCGAGTCAACAGTTTCCAGTAATAATCTCACTTCAAGTGGAAAAATAACTTCATACCCTTGGGTCTTACCCTGTAAGCAAATGGCTAACCTTAGCCTTAAAGAAGCAACACTTTAGAGAATTGTGTTTTAGCTTCATCATGAAGCTTGTTAAAGAGTCTTGAATTTTCAGCAATGTTCATCCATTACCCTGCCATCTCTTTATCATCTTTTCTCTGCTCTCCAGTCTGGAAAAGGCACAATCACCAACAAATTATGCATTTGGGGTGAGAGACAAGCAGCCCTCCCACAGTCTATTTAAAAATCTAATAACTTGGAGTTAATGCAAACTAAGTATAATACCACCCAGCCCTTTTATCAAATTCCACCTAGTGCTTAGAATGTTTCCATTTATTTAGCTCTTTAAAAATGCTCTTTGTGGCTATTTAGCTTGATGCATTAGTACTTAGAAAGAAATCATTGAACCAGGTCTAGGAACATTCTCTTACCTGATTTTAGGAGCTGCTAAATCTTGAACTCAGTTGGATAGCTTTGTTATGTAAATCTAGTGGCTTTTTCTAGCATGCCTTTTTTTCTCTTTACAGGGTCCCATGGGTTTAGAAGGAGTTCAAGGACCTCCTGGGAGTCAGGTATTTTGGTTAATATTATTAAAACCTTAGTGTATAAAATATGAATCAAGGTCCCACCACTTTTCTTAATATGGTCATCAACCCAAAGAAAGACATTGCTTTAATGCAAATTTCCATCTCCCTTTGATTGGTATAAACTCAACCACTCTCTTCTTTGTTTGCAACCAAGAAGATGAGTATCCAGTGTCAAGTTTGGTGCCATTCCATGGCATGCTATATGGTGTATATACTTCTTTAACATGTTATCAGTGTTAGCAAGGCCAGCCTGCTTATATTCACCTCTAGCCTTTTGGCCCTTGTGCCTCCAAGCATGCAACTTTACTATCTAGTATGCCATATGGCCTTCTGTAACAGATTATAGAGTCATATAGGATCCATACATGCCCTTGAATGCCAGCCAATGTTCCTGTGCCATTTGCACTAGTCTAATCCAAACACCAGCCCCTCTTATGTAGACATTCAACTTAGTTGTAACTATGTTCTGTCATAGGGCAAGAAGGGGTCCTCAGGTTTCCTTGGGCTTAATGGATTGCCAGGAATTAAGGTAATGTTGTTGGGAAGTAAAAATCCAGGATTGGGGAGAAGGAAGAATAAAGAATTATCAGAAATGCTATTTTGTCCTTTCAGGCTACTATAAAAAAATATCACAGATTGGATAGTTTATAGACAGCAGAAATTTATTGCTCACAGTTCTGGAGACTAGAAGTCTGGGATTAGGGTGCCAGTATGGTTGAGTTCTGGTGAAGGCTCTCTTCCAGCTTGCAAACTGCCTACATTTTCCTGTGTCCTATTATGATGGAAAGATTGAGCTATCTCTTATTGGGCCTTTTATATAATGTCACTGATTCTAATTGGGGCAGCTCTGCCCTCATGACCCAACTCCAAATACAATCACCTTGGGCATTAGGTTTTCAACATTAATTTGGGAAAGGGGCACAATCATTAAGATCATAGCAAAAGTCTATATATGAAATAAAATATTTTTAAAGTATTTTAACATTTTATGTGTCATCCTTTTCACATGCATCCTACTTTAATACGCAAAACTGATGAGCATCATTTAATATTACTTGATAAGTGGTAGACTTAATGGGGAGGGAAACATGGTAGCAAATCAATCTCTTCAAGGGGGAATATTTTTTATTGACTGCTTAGAATTGCCAACTTTTCAGTTTTATTATTTTTCTTAAATTCTCTACTGATAATGCATCCCCTTATTGCCTGCACCTAGGACTGAGAATTCCCACCACCCTACTCTGAATATGCCACTGTATCTGATTATGGTATTTGAGTCCCTTTTGTGTGACAATTAGGACTCTTTTGACTTCTTCTGCCTGAAATCATCCACTAATAAGAACAGTGGCAATAGCAAAGTCCCAGGTCTGCTAAGAGTGGGAAAATTTTGAAACACTGCTCTCCCCTGGGCATCTCTTGGGTGCAGCCATATTATCTATTTCTATGACATATTTGCCAGAGCAGGTTTTCCTGGAGTCAGTTTGCAAAATAAAATTGGGATCCCTTGTTCTTGATAGGGTTGCAATTGAATATCAGACTTCTGACCTGACTTGTGTTGCCTTCATCTTAAATTGATAGGACTTTGAAATTAACCCATGGACTAGTTGACCCTGGAAATCAGGGTTTGCAAAAGGAGAAATCTTTAACTTTTCTGGGGAATGGATTTGAGGACACATAGGTCTTGGATGATGAGGTCACATAAATATTTGTGTTTAACATATTTAATCCTTGCAGGGTGAAAAGGGTGATGTTGGCCTGCCAGGCCCAGATATTTACATCGATACAGATGATGCTGTGATCTCAGGTGCAATTTTTCATTGATTTGAGTGGAGAAGAAAAGACAGGGAGTTAAATGTTATATCCCTTGTAATTATTTAAAGAATTTTTTGTTAGCCACTAGATTGCTGCTAAACCCAACACTCCCAAGGGCTCCTCCTGGATCCTGAACTTGAGAAGTGAAGCTAACTCCAATATCTTGGGGAAACGAACCAAACCCTACTCCATTTTTGTGTTGGGTCTACCAAGGCTAGGGTTTGAGTTAGTTGGGCCTGCATTTGCTAAAATGGTTATTTTAGTGATGCTTAGGGAAGGATTTATATCCTCCCCAGCTAAGTTGACTTCAGCCTGATACTATAGGAAACTCAGGTTCTCAGCTACATGATCCCATGAATGCTTGAGCTTGACAATTTCATTGTAAATAAAAATGTATTCTTAGAGGAGCAACTGGTTGACTATGATGCTTTGAAAGTTTGTCTTCACCTCTCCTTTTTCTAGTTACTGTATGTGCCTAACCCCTTTTCCTTCTCCAAAAATCCAGATGCCCACTCTCTCCAGCTACTTCTTGTTTGACCAAAGGCTTCTACTATTGTGCCTTTTCAATCTGGGTCTCCTAACTTTCTCCCTTCATCCTCTCAGGCTCAAGCTGTCTGATAAACCCATTGAAGCTGAGATGTTAACAGTTGACAGTGTCTTCCTCTGTTCATCTCCCAAAAAAAACTATGTGTATAACATGAATAATAGACTTTAACCCCCTTAATCCAAATGGTAGACATTTGAGGCATTATAGCAGATTACTAATAGTAGAAGGAACTTCATAGTACTTGCCAAAACTTGCCATGGGAAGCAAACTCTGGCCATAGCAGTTCTGAACACTAGTAGTTTTAGTTCAAGTAGACCCACTATCACATGAGGCAATCAGCATCTGGGAGAGATTATTAGTACAAAGTGCAAGAAAGGCACCTCTACCTAAAGACATCTCCTTGCATCTCTGCTTAGGCATTTTGTGACATTTGTAAGTGTCTTCTGGGTTTGCTTACTTTTTTAAATTTCATTGTAATGTCAGGTTATCCTGGAGATCCTGGTGTGCCAGGCCTCCCAGGACTTAAAGGTGATGAAGGCATCCAGGGCCTGCCTGGCTCTTCTGGCATCCCCGGATTACCAGCTTTACCAGGTGAAACAAACTAACCCACCTCCTACACAGATCAGTTATCTCTCTTCTCTGGTGTCCAGTATCCCCTTATATATCTCTGGTCTAGTACATACCTAGCCAAAGTCAAAGGAAAATTTGACTAGTCAATTAGGTTCTCACTGCCAGCCCAAGGCTAATGTATATGAGGAGTAAGCCTGGGTGGACAACTTTTCTTTGGCCTCAATAATGTGCCATAGCTAAATAAGCAATCCAGACTGTCATGAGGTTATAGGAGCTATAGGGTTATACTGCTGGAGCCCTGTCATTCTTCTGAGGATGTGCCATCCAGTTGGTGCTTGACAGAAGGCCCTAACAAAAGCTCAGAGGAAAGTTGGTACCCAGACCCTTACTCTGTGCATAATTCAGGCACTAAATGGCCCCAGCATCCTATGGATAGTACCCATAAAGCAGTCACCTGAGGGGCATAACCATATGGCATTTTATAATAACAAAAATAGAAAGGGCATGCTAGAGTCTGGGAGGCAGTGATGTTCCAAATATAAATACTCAGATATTATTTGTATTTATTTTATCTTAAATTGAGAGAGAGAGAGAGAGAGAAAAGAGAGAGAAATTTCAATATGAGAGCCCTGACCAGTGATCAAACCTGTAACCTAGATATGTACCCTAACTGGGAATCCAACCTGCAACTGTTTTGGGCTACAGGACAATGTTCCAACTAACCGAGCCACCCAGCTAGGGCTCCAACATTACTTTAAAGGCACCAGTTTTTAAATTCTTTGGGAATGAGCTTCTGTAAAGATTCCTGTGCTTTTAAAGCAGCCACTTGGAAGAAGTATAGCTGATTGCAGTACCAAACTGGAAGAAAAAAAAAAGAAATGAGAGGCTAGAGACCCAGGTTTCTCTCTGAGGTTTGCCACTAAGAAGCTCTGCACCCTGACCAATTTTTCTCATGTCATTGGGCCTTAATTTCTCAAGAGGTTAGGTTAGGTTATCCCAAGGACCTTTCTAACTTCAATGCAAGAGAAGAGTGAATGCTTTCCCAAATTGTTTCCTTATAGTTTAGTTTCCAATGTATGTCACTGAGTAGAATAAGTGGGGTGATGTGATTAGTATTTTTGTGTGGGCTTATTTTTTCCAGGTGTGTCAGGTGACCCAGGGCCGCAGGGAGTTCCAGGCCTGAAAGGGAACAAAGGAAACCCAGGCCAAACCACGATTGGGGCATCTGGCCTTCCTGGCAAAGATGGTTTGCCAGGCCTACCAGGCCTACCAGGCCTACCAGGCTCACCTGGTAAGTTCATTTATCTTTGATCTTGAGACTCAGATGTGATCCAGACTACAAAACAGTTATGATATATGAGGGAAGGAGCATTGCACAGATGTAGTAGCTAAGCCAGAATACATGGTAACTACAGAGTGGCAGTGATGAAGGCCCCATTCTTTCTGAGTCAGAGCCTTACTTCTACAAGTTAACAACTACAGCAGTCACAATATTCATCAAAGAACAATCAAACTTGGGCTACCTTGATGACCAAACACTACCTAATGCCTTCCAACTTTTGTACTCATTTACTCTTTTTTTTTTTTTTTATCTTCAGTATGGAGTTTTCCTTTAATTTTTTTCATTTTAATTTCTTTGTTGATTAAGGTATTACATATTCATCCTGTACTCTTCGCCTTTCTCAGTCCCTAGGCAGAGGCTTTCAGTTCCCAAAGAAGAAGCATTGGCTCTTTCAAACTTTTTCTGGTCCTCAAGGATAGACTGAGGACTTGAGATATAGGAAGCCAAGTTTGAATCTTAAAGCGGATGCTAAAAACCTCCACAAGGTTTATTCTTTGTAGATCTTCTACTTGAGTATGGGATTCTAGATTCTAAGAGAAAGGATGAACCAGCACGTTTCTTTGAAACCTAAATCCCATGACCACTTCAGCTTGCACCCATTTCCTCTTTTGTCCTAAAAGCCCTCTCTGGAATAGACATTGGAACTTCAGAGTTACTGAAACTGCCTTATACATTCCTGTATCCCTCAGCATCTGGTCCAGTGTCTAGAACTTGGTAGACATTTTATAACTAGTAGTAGAGTTAATCAAGCCAACAGAAGATGGACTCACTGTAGACTTTAGGTCGCCTGTCTTGAATTTTTTTTTTTAAATATATTTTATTGATTTTGTACAGAGAGGAAGGGAGGAGATAGAGAGCTAGAAACATCGATGAGAGAGAGTCATCGATCAGCTGCCTCTTGCACACCCCCTACTGGGGATGTGCCCGCAACCAAGGTACATGCCCTTGACCGGAATCGAACCCGGGTCCCTTCTGTCCCCAAGCCAACGCTCTATCCATTGAGCCAAACTGGTCTCGGCTGTCTTGAATTTTTTTAATCTCATTTTTTGAGCTTTGAGAACCCAAGCCTTGATGACTGAGCTGTTGTGCTGAGTCAAATGATCCCAGCTCATGTAAGGTGCCAATATTTTATGTTTCTTTTTTTTTCTGAAGGTCCAGCATTTGAGCCTGGAACACTACAGAGCACAGAACCAGGATTTCCTGGTCTCCGAGGAGAACGAGGTCCAAAAGGAAACCAAGGTCTCAAAGGTGTAAAAGGTGATTTTGTCCCCTTGGGTTTATTTGTTCCTCAAACTTCCTAGAAAAGACTTTCCAGGTAATGAGCAAACCAACAGCCTTAAATACCTGAACAGAAGCAATTTTGGATCTTGATTGGGGATTTGAATATAGGATTATTACAAGTGTTATATTTAGGCTTCTAAGATTGAGGTTGGCAATTGAGATCACAGGAAAAAAACTGGCTCAGAGGCTACTCCTACCTGCCCACCTGCATAAACTATACTAGCAGCCCAGGGTGTTAACTAGCACATGATGCAACATTTACCAGTTTGCAAGGCCAAGGCAAGAAGCCATGTATTACCTTCAGCCTGAAAAACAAACAAACAAACAAACAAACAAACAAAAAAACCTCTGAATAGGTCAAGATCTGGCGTTCTGAAAAAGCCAACTGGTTCCATAAAAACAACTTCAGCTCCCAACTGATACTGAAGGACTTACTGATTCAGCTTCATACCTCTCTTCATCTTCATCTTCTTGATGCCTTTGCGTTATTCCTTTGCTTCATACTCTGAGGGAAGATGCTAAAGCTTAGTTGAATCAATTCATTATAGTTACAGTCCAGGCCAGGGTAGAGGAAGAGATGGAAGAAGAGGTGAAACAACTGGCTCAAGAAGGTTTGGGGATGGTCTACTGGTTTCAGGTATCTAAAATTGTTCTTGTTTGCTCAAGTAATTCACAGCTTTCCTCAAGCTCAAACAGACATGTTCCAATTTACTCCTCTTATTGTCCTGTTATTTGGGGACAAGGATATTAAATTGCAAGACTTGACTTAGTATATTAATTTTGGCCCTACCCTGACTCACTATAGAGCTGATGTACTTCTTGATACCATTCTCCCTCCTAAAAGAGGGTCAACTCTAATGCTTCCCCTTCTATATTCCCATGGGTTCAGAAAGATTTCTCTAACAGTGATAATGATTCTCAACCTTCATTGTACATGAGAATCACCTTGGGAAAATTACTAAAAATTACATTCTTTGTTCTGACCTCCTGAGAGTCTGATTGACTAGATATGGGGTGAGGCCCAGCAAATTGCCTTATAAACACTCATCACAGGTGGCTCAGGCAGAAAGTCCATAGATCGTACTTGAGAGATGCTAATTTGGAGAACAGACTATTCTCTCAGAGTTTTAGGAATTATCACTTTTCTAAATGTAAGAAAAGACCATTTAGGATTTTAAGGGAACTCAGAAGTCACCCAAGTTGGCCCAGATTCTTATTTTCCTAACTGTAAGCATGGAAGGTATAGGTGGCTGGGCCAGGTGCTTTGCTGCAATCTCTATTGTTAATTTATTTGACATTTATCTCTGTCTACAAAAGATAGGGGGGAAAGACATTTTTGTGAAGAGAATCTTTAAGTGGCTTGGATTCTAGACTGTTAGCTGGTTAGTGTGGGTCAGCGGTCCCCAACTCTGCTATACATTAGACACACTGATGTTTAATTAGTTCCATACTAATTAAATCCAAATCATTAGCACAGATGTATTTTGATAAAGAGGGAATTTAGTTTATTTAATTCTGTTCACAGGCCTTTTTATTGTCTCCATGGACTTAAATCATAAATTACCACGGTCAGGTCTAACTTCTTTTTAGAAAGAGGGCTCACTTGTTTAACGGTGTCTTTTTTTTTTTCTCCCAGGGGACTTGGGATTTTGTGCTTGTGATGGTTCTATCTCCAACAGTGGACCACCTGGGGAGACAGGCCCACCTGGGCCACCAGGTCATATAGGCCTTTCAGGCCTTAAAGGAGCCAGAGGAGATCCAGGCTCTAGAGGCACACAGGGCCCATCAGGGTCTTCAGTAAGTCTGGCCAAATTTTGGCCCCAAGGGCACAATGAGAGCTCTCAAGTGCCCCTCACTCTTCAACAATCACTTTTCTAAAACACATTAAAAAAAACAAACCTATATATATAAAAGCTCAGAGACCGAACAGCTGAATGTCCAGGACAATTGGAAACACCGGTGGCTATGATGTGCACTGTGGCAGACTAAGAGTCTGATCCGGGCCTCGATTCGGCCCCTCTCCCTCTGGCTGGCCCAGCCCCCAATCGGCCCCAATATCCCAATTGGGGTGGGGTTAGTTGGCCAACTGCCCATAACCCCTCCCTCCCACCAGCCAGGCCCAATGGGCCCTCATTGGGGTGGGCTGGCCAGACCCCACTCATGCACTGGGCCTCTAGTGGGGATATAACAAAGCTTTATCTGTAATGTGAAGTATTTGAGTAGATGATCTCAAATTCCTTTCTGCTTTAACCTATTCCTTCCCTTTCTCCCTCTCTTAACCCTTCTCTTCCTTCCACAAAATCATTTGCATTTGCCTAGCACTGTGCTTGGCCCTGAAGATAAAATTGGAATTAGACAAGGTAACCATCCTCAAAGATTTCAAAATTTAGAAAGGATAAGAAAATAAAGTAAATTATAATACAAAATGACAAACATAACCAAGTGCCCAGAACAGTATCAAAATGTACCCAAGGTCTTGCTTTAGGTCAGACTAATGCTAGGTGCTAGAATTCTATGAAGTGTGCTCATTCCCTTTTGTCTCTTGATCATTGCCTTTGTCTATTTGTCAGGGTTTATTTGGGCCTCAAGGTCCTACAGGTCCCAAAGGAGAGAAAGGAGAATCAACCCTCAGTACAAGATCAGGGAAGCCAGGGGAGCAGGGTGATCCTGGCCCTCAGGGGCACCCAGGAGAGACAGGATTACCAGGCAAGGATGGATTACCAGGTTTACAAGGTCTGCCAGGCTTTCCGGTAAGTTGATTGTTTCTGGGTAATTAGCTCTATAAATCCTCACACCTGACTGGGAGGAAGGGTTATTCCTTTTTTTTTTTTTTTTTCATACACTGTTTATTTTTTATGTTTATTTTTATTTTTACTTTTATTATTTTTTTATTTTACATATTTTATTGATTTTCTTTTTTTTTACCCCCCTCCCTCCTTCCCATACATCCCCTCCCTCTCCAGAGTTTTATGTCCATTGGTTGTACTTATATGCATGTATATAAGTCCTTCGGTTGATCTATTATCTCCCCCAGATCCTCCTCCCCTCCCCACTGTAATTTGACAGTCTGCCTGTTGCTTTACTTTCTCTATCTCTGTCTCTAGGTTCATCAGTTTATAATGAGCTTTATCGTCCACCAATGAGTGAGGTCATGTGGTATTTCTCTTTCATTGATTGGCTTATTTCACTCAGCATGATGTTCTCCAATTCCATCCAGGTTGCTGCAAATGATGAGAATTCCTTCTTTTTTATGGCAGCATAGTATTCCATTGTGTAGATGTACCAAAGTTTTTGGATCCAATCATCTGCTGACGGGCACCTAGGCTGTTTCCAAATTCTGGCTATTGTAGATTGTGCTGCTATGAACATAGGGGTGCAAATATCCTTTCTGATTGGTGTTTCTAGTTTCTTGGGATATATTCCTAGAAGTGGGATTACTGGGTCAAATGGGAGTTCCATTTTCAGTTTTTTGAGGAAACTCCACACTGTTCTCCACAGTGGTTGCACCAGTCTGCATTCCCACCAGCAGTGCACGAGGGTTTCTTTTTCTCCACAATCTCATCAACACTTGTTTGTTGATTTGTTGATGTTGGCCATTCTGACAGGTGTGAGATGGTACCGCATTGTTGTTTTGATTTGCACCTCTCGGACAATTAGTGACTTTGAGCATGTTTTCATGTGCCTTTTGGCCTTCCTTCCGTCTTCTTTTGAAAATATTCTATTTAGGTCCATTGCCCATTTCTTAATTGGATCATTCATCTTCCTTTTATTTATTTGTATAAGCTGTCTGTAGATGTTGGAGATTAAACCTTTATCAGTGGTATTATTTGCAAATATGTTCTCCCACACCGTGGGCTTTCTTGTTGTTTTGTTGATGGTTTCTTTTGCTGTAAAAAAAACTTTTTATTTTGATGTAGTCCCATTTGTTTATTTTCTCTTTAGCTTCCATTGCTGTAGGGGCAATATCAGTGAAGAAGTTCTTTTGGCATACATCGGAGATTTTGCTGCCTGTGGATGCTTCTTGTATTTTTATGGTTTCCCGTCTGATGTTTAAGTCCTGTATCCATTTTGAGTTTATTTTTGTGAATGGTGTAAGTTGGTGATCTAGTTTCATTCTTTTGCATGTATCTGTCCAATTTTCCCAACACCATTTATTGAAGAGACTGTCTTGACTCCATTGTATATTCATGCCTCCTTTGTCAAATATTAATTGAGCATAGTGATTTCGGTTGATTTCTGGGTTCTCGATTCGATTCCATTGATCTATATGTCTGTTTTTGTGCCAGTACCAGGCTGTTTTGAGAACAGTGGCTTTGTAATACAGTTTGAAGTCTGGTATTGAGATCCCTCCTACTTTACTCTTCTTTCTCAGGATTGCTGTGGCTATTCAGGGTCTTTTATTGTTCCAAATGAACTTTTGGAGGGTTCTTTCTAGGTCAGTGAAATATGTCGTTGGTATTTTAATGGGGAGTGCATTGAACTTATAGATTGCTTTAGGAAGTATGGACATTTTGATGATGTTGATTCTACCAATCCATGAACATGGTATGTTCTTCCATCTCCTTACATCAGGAAGGGTTATTCTGATGGACACTAGACCATGAGACAGGGTAAAACATTTCTTCCTCTGCCATGGACACTTTTTGTTCTGTGCTTTGCTTTTCTTTAAAATGGAAATATTTTTTTCTAAGTATTGGTCATGTTTCATTTGATAAATGCCAATAACAATTGACCATGTCACTTAAAAGGCTTCAGCTCCTCAGTAGCTTTCCCTTGCAAGTAATCCAGCTGCTTTTCGTGACCCCATAGGTTGTTATCCTGCTCCTGTTTTCTACCCCGGCCCCCCACTGATCTAGATCATTTTACATTATCAGATCACCCAGGATTGACAAGCTTCATCATCTCCACTATCTATACTACTATTTATACTCAGAGAACTTAATTGATAGAGTGGTAGAGAACTTTAACCCCCCCCCCCCAAAAAAAAACATAGTATTAGCCACACTGGTTACCTCTTTCTTATTGTTAGAGAACTCTCCAGATAAGTCTCTAAATTTGGGCTTTTATTCTAGGGTGATGCTGGACAGGGATTCCCAGGTGAAAAGGGATTCCCAGGGATTCCTGGAGAAAAAGGTCATAGTGGTTCTCCTGGTCCCCCAGGAATTGGATTACCAGGGTCTCCTGGACCTCGTGGACCTCCTGGAGATCAAGGAATAGACGGATTGCCAGGGAAAACGGGCCTCCCTGGGCCTCCAGGTGAGTCAGGAAATCAGATAGTTTTGGACTTAGGAAACTAACCCCTGGTAAAGAATACAAATAACTCAGACGCATGAAATGGGTAAGAAGAGGAGACTTGGTTATAATCACTACTTTTAGTCTTCTAAGTGTTTTCATGTGGAAAGAGTATTGTAATTTATTGTGGTATGCTTACACAGAACAATATGGATTTCAGCTTTACTTAGTGGAACACTTCCTAACAGAGCAGTCTAAAAATGTAACAGAGTTTCCTTGAGAAGTTATGATCTCATAATCCCTGGAAATTTTCAAGCAGAAGCTGAATGACCATTTATTATGAATGCATTGTAGTAATGAGTGGGATACTGGACAAGGTGTTCTATACATTGTGTGATAATATCATCAGCAGCAAAAATCCTTTCCTTAGTTCATGAGATCTCAGACTGAGAAGAGAACATAGTTGTATTTAGTGTAATCTCCATTTTATATCTTAATTTTCTCCCATTTATATAAGTTCTTTTTTTACTAGAATTTCAATAAATATAATGAGTGACAGTCTTGCTTATGGATTTTAAAGATGCTATGTTAATATCATGCCTTCTTCCAGACAGCCAGAACAGCTCTTTGTCCCAACTTCTATGTTTCTACAACCTTTGTGCTTCCATTAGTGGTATTACACTCCTTATAATCATCTGAAGTTTGAAAACTTAACATTTATCTTTTATTTATTTGGAATGTTTTTATATTCTTCCCTTCCTCTTCTTGATATTACGATGTTATTATGTCATGCCCCACTTATTAAACAGCTATATGCTTGTTGAAAAAAATATATGGTTGAAAAGACAGGTGGAAGGATGGATGGATGAACAAGTGGGTGGATTCAATGACAACAACTTGCTAAATAATTTCTCATCACTTATATCCAGACTTTTCCCACCCAATACTACTATGAACACTGCTGCCAATTTGACATCTATAAAGTATTGATATCATTTTACCCCCCCTAGTCCAAAGCCACAAGTGATCTCTACTGAATAATGTCTGAATTCCTTTCTAGCCTTACCTTATCTCACATTCTTCATGTTTTAAAATAAAACAACAGTATTTTTCACTATTTCCAAACACATGTTCAATTCTAACTCCAAGATTTTGTCCATGTTGCCATTTTCTACACTGCCCTTCCTCTTTTCTCTATATGGTAAAATCCTACCCATTTATCAGGGTTCAATATAAGCCCTGCCTCTTCTACTAAGCCTTCCCTTGACCTCCACAGATGTCATTGCCACTTAAATTATATTATTACTTCCATTTATGCTTTCACTTTTTCCAACTGAATTATAAGCCTCTGGATACTAGGAAAAGTGAGAAATACTTTTTAGCATTTCTCAACCTCCCTCTTATAGTGGAATTGTTCTATAGGAGACTAATATATATTTGCAAAAGAAAGGGCCTTCTCAATAACCAAGGGGCTATTTCTTAGACCTGTTTCTCTTCTTTCCACCTTGTCGCATTGAAGAAATACCTAAAAAGGGAGAAAGACAACAGGTATAGAAAAATTATATTTATTTTAAAATCTAATTGTGTGGATTTGTATAATAATAATAATAATAATAATAATAATAATAATAATAGTACATGTTAAAATGGACAATCCAAGATTATTAAAAATCAAATCATTGTTTCAGTTCACACATTCCTATGAAAGTTGTGAGAAATTTTATAAAACAAAATCTTTCTTCCCTTTTGGAAGTTTTGGTGTTATCTATAGCTTTGCTTCCAGCTCTGTTCTCAGAGACATTAATCATGGTCATTCCACTACCCCTCCAACAATTTGATCTTGATTCTAAGTCAACACATATTGCAGGCAACTAGGTTTTAAACTGAATTATAATAACATGAGGATATACCTGGGCTGTAGATAAGACTTTCCTTGGGCCTCAAGAAACTTCTGTTCTGTCCTGATTTAATTTTCTTCTCTATCTTTTTTTTAAATTTCTTTATTGATTAAGGTGTTACATGTGTGTTCTTATTCCCCCTAATTTTCTTCTTCAGTTGATTGGTTTATTTATAAAATTACACATCCCCAAATTTTATATTCTCAACATTCTGAGTCAACAGAAGGAAGCCGATGGGACCATTTCTTTCCCAACTTCACTAGTCACTGGACACAGAATGTTCTTAGGAATATAGTGATATAGTAAATTATAATCTATGAGATATCTCATATAGAAAATGTTCTTGTTGCAGTACCAAGACTCCCCTCTCCCGGCCGCCAAATTAGTTAAATTAAGAGCCTTCTTTCCCCACCATTTTATCAACATATAACCTTTTGTAAGGTTTTAAACCAGACATGTACATCGTAGCTATTGCCATGAAAAATGAAGATATTGTTTCTAAATGTACTCACTTCAACCAGTTGTGGCCCAGGGTAGGACAACTGCCTTGCCAGGGAAGGGGATGTAGTCATCAGAAGCCTTTCAACCTTGTAGTGTGAATTATTACAAACCGTGGACTAACAAAAACATGGGCTGTTTCCAAGGAGGCTCTGATCCAGATGCTCATAGTAATACATCCCCCTCATTATTATTGAAGCGGTGCCCTTGATTTGTGAGGGTGCCAGCTCTCTTCACTCAATCCAGACAGGGAATTTGATTGGTGGGTATACCTAGGCTGCAGATAAGACTTTCCTTGGGTCTCAAGAAACTTCTGTCCTGGTTTAATTTTCTTCTTTACTTGATTGGTCTAGGTGACTGCTGCTGCAGAGGGAAGATTGGTAAAGGAGACTTAGACACTGAGGGAGGTGAGAGCTAGCTAAGTCAGGAGGTTCTCAAACACCAATGTTAGAAAAAAATCTCTTTTTGTTCACCTTTATCTCACACACTCACAACTGCTTGAGCACTACACTGAGCAGCCCCTGGTTGGGGAAAGATGATCCTAAGGCTGGGATGCAAAGGCTAACATAAAACTGCTTCAGAGGCTCCTTGGCATATACCTTCTGGGAGGGAGTACAGGGGTAAACAGGCATGCAATCTCCAGAGGAACTGATTTCCTTCACCATGCATGTTGATGGCTTGCTGTTTTCTACCTTGAGCACCTTTATTTTCTGAACTTATCTGGGGCTATGACTTGTCTTGAGAGGTACCATGAAGAACCCATGTGTGTCTCATATTTATTCATTGGCTCCAGAGTAAATTAAGATGTTAGAATCTTGGTAAACAGAGGTGCTTTTTATTCTGAGAATTTTGGCATTAATTGGGAAAAGTCAGAATAATTAGGTCATTTGTTACAATTATAAAAATAGAATATGGGTAAAACCAATTTTTGCTTTGTTGGGGAGAAGGCTCTGAATTCAAGAATGTAAATTAGACGATGGGGACATAAAGTAAAAAAACAAACAAACAAAAAAAAAACAGATACCAGTATGACTTAAAGTTCTTACCTTCTCACGATGTTGACCCTCTGCTTTAATACATGTGTTGTGTGATGTATAGGACTGGCCTGAGGCAAAAGGGAAGTATGTTCTTAATTTCTTCTGGTTTCTATTCATCTTCCCTTTTATCATTATTTTTCCCATCCAGGTGCCTGTCTTCTGTCCCGTTCTCTAAAGGTTTTGTCTTTATCTGGCTGTCACAAGTATAAAAACAATCTATGAAACTGATCTGATAAATTAAGGATGGATGGATTTATGTTTGGAGCCAATCCAGAGATAACTGTATTTTACCCAGCCTTTTTTTTTATTAAAGCAATGAAATTGCAGTGTTTGACATATTTAAATCTATTGGAATTATTGGAGCAAGAGAATCTTCTGCAGAATCCCTCTCATGATACCATCTAGGAGACAGTTTTTCAGTCTAGTCCAAAGGACTTGGGCTGGAGGCAAGAATAGGATTGGCATGTCATCCTGAGATGCTTGCCCATGGAGCATATTTCCATAGTGGAAATAACCCTCAGAAATAGGCCCATCATCTCAGTGTCTGGCAGGATTGTGATGGGTGTAGCCACCTATGGAGGAAGATTAGGCCTATGGCCATCTCTCCACCTACGGACATATGACTATAGGAACCTGAGGTCTAGAAGACAGAAAATTGCTGCCCAGGCTAGAAAGTAGTGTCATTAACCTGACTGATGATAGAAACCAGGAATGACCTTATAGGAGTTGTTCTAAGTAGTTTTTCTTAAGTAAGATAATAAAAGACTATTATTCATTAGGTACATACCAGTATTTTAGGCACTATTAGCTTTTTTCCCCCCATACAATCCTCATAAACACCATATGAGACAAGTAGCTCTCATTTACATGATACTTAAAGAGGTTAAGTATCTTGCCCATACAACTAGTTAGTAGCGCAACTAGGATAGAAACAGGTCTGTCTGGCTTCAGAGCCCACCTCTTAAGCCAATACATTATATTGTTAATTTTCAATTTTGATTTAGGAATAGAACAAGTAGGCTAAAAATGCCATCAAGTCTTCATAGTAAAAAATATAAGTGGTATTGGAGGGGAAATGCCAGCCAGTTCAGCAGTTGAGTAAGCAGTCTGAATCATAGGTTGTATACATGTCTCTCTCTCTCTCTCTCTCTCTCTCTCTCTCTCTCTCTCTCTCTATATATATATATATATATATATATATATATATATATATATATATATATATAATTTTATTGATTTTTTTTACAGAGAGGGAGAGAGAGTTAGAAACATTGATGAGAGAGAAACATCAATCAGCTGCCTCCTGCAATGCTTCTATCCCTCTCCCTTATTCTTTCTCTAAAATTCAATTAACCGCAACCAAGGTACAAACCCTTGACCAGAATCAAACCTGAAACCCTTGAGTCCACAGGCCAACGCTCTATCCACTGAGCTAAACCTATTAGAGTTGTATACATGTCTTTTAAGAAATGAAGTTTAAGACTGATTTTAAGTACAGGCAAAAGATGTAGAAGTTTATTAGAACTGTTGGCTTCATAGCTAAAGCAGACCTTGAGGGACTCTTTTAATGAATAGGCAAGACTAATTTTAATTAGCATAGCAATTGTTTGTATATGGAACTTGAGGGAACTAACACTTAATTTATTCAGCAATATTTTATTAAACCTCCCCTCCATGATCTTATAGACTCTTTATATTTGCATTATTAATGAGCAATGAAGAGTTTGCTAGAAGTTTGCTATGCATGCCAATTTTAATGTCTTGAATATTAATATTGACTGCCCCTTCTCCCTCTGTGGCAGAGTTGGTGGTTTCAAATGAGGAGCTGAGGGAAGGGTCAGTGTTCTTCTATTGTGGGCAAGAGAATGGCCTTCAGTGTTTGCCTGGTCCAAATCTATAGGTATATCTGACCAAAGACAGTCAATAGACTTCAACAGATTTCAAATGAGATGTGTCAAAAGAACTCATTCCAAAAATTGGGAAGACATGTGAACTTAAGGGTCTTGGCTTCAAACCCTTATAATGTGGGCATATTGAACACTTAGAATTAACTCCAAGCTTCCATCTTAGGGAGAGGCTCCATCTGAGGGCAGAGTGAGCAGGCCATGTCTATTTGTTGCTGTCCCTGCACAGGACACTGCTAGGAAATATTTATAGGTAACATCTGCTACAGAGATGACTGCCTGGCACTGGAAACTGATGGTTTTGGAAGTGACATCCTGGCACCTAGACACTAGGGGCATTGTTATGCCTGAAAGCAATTGCATTAGGGGTAACTCCCAAAAGCTTCTGATGTCAGGATTCTTCTGCATGTTCTCCAGCTTCTGAGTGGGAAGAACTTGGTTGTCCCATTTGATGGAATGGAAGTAAAGGAGCATTCCGGGGGGAAATCATTCCTGACTCATTGGGATCACCGAATGTTTACCTGTTACCATTTACAGGTATCACCTTGCCTTGTATTATTTCTGGGCCATATGGTCCATCAGGATCTCCAGGATCTCCAGGATTCCCAGGTATGGAATGAGATCAGATAAAGCCATGAGCACACTTGCCAGGGCCATGAGCCAAAGGAAGCAAAGTGTAGCCCGATAGCATTTTGGGGACCACATTTCTCCTGAGAGGGCAGACTTGAAGACCACGAAAATAGAATGGCTGCTGGAGAGTCTCTCATCCATGTTTCTATTGCTCTCCCTTCTTCTCTCTCTAAAATTCAATTAAAATAAATATATAAAAGAGATGCCCTCCAAGACTCTAGGATTCTTAACTGAACACCACAAATCCAACCTATCCACACTAATTCACCTTTCCCCTCACCATTTGGGTTTTCAGGGCCTAAAGGGGCCCCTGGCCTCCCTGGGACTCCAGGTCAGCCTGGATCACATGGAAATAAAGGAGAGTCCGGAAATCCAGGATCACTTCACCTCCCTGGATTTCCAGGTAAGGAAAGAAGCTTCTCCTCCCTGCTTCTCCTTTTGTGTGAGCGTGTGCATTTGGATTGTAATAGCCACCTACCAGTTGCAGGAAGTTAGGATACAGCTGCAAAATGACAGCATATGAGGGCAATAAAGGCCATTTGAGATCAGCTAGACAATCCCTTCACTTTTAGATGAGGAAACTGGGGAACAAGTGAAAAGTGAATTGCCTGTGGTTACAAAGCCACTAGTGACAGAGCTAGGACTCTATCAGTTTATCTGGCTACCAGACCTATGGCAGTTTCCTGGATCAACTCCTTAAAGGTTAGAGAGATCCAAATGAGTCTGAGGGAAGTTTTTCATTTCTATCCCTTCACTCACACCCTGATATTTCAAACTGAGTGTCATTGTTCTATACTACATCAGTGGTTTTCAAACCTGGGCCAGCAGCATCAGCAACACCTGGAAACTTGTTAGTAATGCAGATTCTTGGCCCCTTGGCAGAGCTACTGATCAGAAGCTCTGGGGTGGGCCCAGCAATCTGAGTTTTACCAAGTAACTCTGCCCCAGGGGACTTGGTTTAAGATCCATTTCTGTTCTACAGCACATAGATCATCTTGGGCTATGTGCCCTGAGTTTTATCGGTGTCTCGGTTTCTTCCATGACCCAGAAAACAGGGAAGCATGACAGCAGGAGTTTGGGCCTTTAACATGAAGTCATGGGTGTAAACCATCACTTCAGCTACTCTAGGAGTCCCAGAGTTTCCAGGTTCTGCCCAAGACCTGGCCTAAATGAGTTTGAAACCCTTCCAGGTCATATGGTGCAGTCCCTGTCTCTAGGCAAGTCCTCCAAGGACCAGAGACTTCTGATCTTCAAGAGAAATATGAAACACACTATTATTATTTTAAAATATGTTTCTTTTTTATTATCTACTAGAGGCCTGGTACACAAAATTCGTGCACGGGGGAAGGAGGGGGAGGCCCCTCAGCCCAGCCTGCACCCTCTCCAATCTGGGGTCCCTAAGGGGATGTCTGACTGCTAGTTTAGGCCCAATGCCTAGGGCCCAGCAGTCGGACATACCTCTCACAATCCGGGACCACTGGCTCCTAACTGATCACCTGTCTGCCTGCCTGATTGCCCCTAACTGCCCCCCCCTGCCAGCCTGGTCACCCTTAACTGCCCCCCCTGATGGCCTGGTCACCCCTATTGCCCTACTGCCAGCCTGGCCACACCAAACTGCCCCCCTGATGGCCTGGTCACCCCTAACTGCCCCCACTGCAGCCTGGTCACTCCACGCAGCCTGCTGTTTAGTCGTTTGGTCATCCCTCAATAACCCCCCTGAAGGTCTGGTCACCCTACACAGCCTACTCTTCAGTCATTTGGTCATCCCTCACTAGACCCCAACCAGACTTGTTGCCCCACACAGCCTGTGTTCAGTTATCCTTCTGATTGTTTCAGTCGTGATGGCCCCTGGCTTTTTATAGATTAGGATACTAATAAAGGGGTAATATGCTAATTAGACTGGACGACTTCCGGTTTTCCTTTCTGACAAAGCTGGGTCTGGGAGAAGCTGCCCACCCATGGTCCCAGGCACCATCAGCTGCCTCCTGGGAGAAGCCACCCACCCATGGTCCTGGCGAAGACAGTTCAGGTCTCAGGTGCCTGGGCTGGCCAGGGAGAGGGAAGCCCAGGTCCTGGGTTCCTGCAGCCATCAGGAGGAGGGAAGCCTGGATCCCAGGTTCAAGGCTGAAGCAGAGATGGTTAGGGGCAATTAGGCAGGCAGGCAGATGAGCGTTTAGGAGCTAGTGATCCTGGATTGAGAAAGGCATATCCGACTGCTGGTTTTGGCCTGATTCCTGTGGTCCAGCAGTCAGACATCTCCTGAGGGGTCCCATATTAGAAAGGGTACAGGCCTGCTGAGGGACACCCCACTTCAGTGCACGAATTTCATGCACCAGACCTCTACTCAAGTTATAATTGACATATAACATTATATTAATTTCAAGTGTATAATGCAATAATTCAATATTTGTATATGTTGTGAAATGATCACCATAATAAGTCTAGTTACTATTCTTCATCATACATATTTACATATTTTTGTTGTTGTGATGAAATCTTTAATGTTTACTCTAAACATCTTTCAAACATGCAATACAGTATTATTAACAAGTGTTGCCATGCTATCCATTACATCCTCATGACTTATTTTATAACTAGAAGTTTGTACCTTTTGACCCCCTTCACCCATTTCCCATATCCCTTACCCCATATTTCTAGCAATCATCAATCTGATCTCTACATAAGCTTAGGGGTTTTTGTCTGTCTTAACTTGATTTAATTGTTGGCTTTGTGTGTTTTTTAGATTCATGACACACACTATTGATATGTTAGTAGAAAAAAATCTGTTTCAGATACCTCTACCCAGATCTATGGCTAAATCTCCATAGGCTTTTATTTTTGCCTCTTTACATTTAGGATTTCCTGGACCTCGTGGGGATAAGGGCTTGCCTGGGTTTCCTGGGCTCCCCGGAAAAGACGGCTTGCCTGGAAAAGTTGGCAATACAGGTTTACCAGGTTCCAAGGGAGTCCCTGGTGACATCTTTAGTGCTGAAATTGGTGCTCCGGGGGAACAAGGCCTACAGGGATTGCCAGGGGACAGAGGATTTCCTGGAGATTCTGGCCTTCCAGGACCCAAGGGTGACTCTTATTCCCTCACTTATTTAACAATTAACAGAAAGCCTTTCTGTAACCAGTATACTTGCATGAACATTTGCATGAATCTGGGGTGAGGGGTTAATCGGGGATTAAAATGAAAAGTCACTTTATTCTGTCCCTCTCTTTGGGGAATGATTTTATTAAATTCCCTGAATTTATTCTCTTTGTCCTAGTAATTCCAGAAGTAACCATAATCAATAGTCAGATCTCTTGCAAAGCCTCTTATTAACTGCTGGGATAGAAACAATATTGGAGTTGAGACTAAAGTGGCATCTAGGATACATCTGGGACCAGCTTTTCCACTGGCAGTTGGTTTGGTAACGTGGTCCTGCCATCATTGAAACAGGCTATGCTCATCTATCCCTTCTTTTCATTAGGTTTGTCTGGAAAGTCGGGCTCGCTAGGTCCCAAAGGTGAGCAGGGCAGCCCTGGAACACCAGGCCACATGGGACAGCCAGGTATTTCCGGAACTGTTGGTTTACCCATCATCAAGGGCAAACCCGGGCTACCAGGAGCACCAGGCCTTCCAGGTACTTCAGGTAGGTCCTTTTGAGATGAAGACCCAGCTTGCCAGACTTAAGTTAGACCATGGATCCTGATGCCCTGAAGGTCAATAGCAGCAGTGTGACATGGACAGAGTTGAGAAAGAGACCACTTTCCTAACCTCTCAAGTTTCAAATCTCAAGTTTCCCTCAAATGCCAGGCAGAACATATTTCTGCAGTTTAGCTTCCAAAATACTGCCACAAAGCCCACCCTGGCTCTCCTCATGACCCCCCACTCCCTTATCATGCTTTAGTCTCCCTCCTGCCTTCCACTTGCTGTGGAGGTATATCTAGCCATCTTCATTGCCTTCACTGGGGACCTGGGGAGTCATTGAGTTGGGGGAGAAGCTCAAGCATAGTGTGACTATATGGTGGCTTCCCTCTCAGGGGAGCATGTCTCTGAAGACCATGGTCACAGTGTCTTTCACTGGGCAGTAGGGTCTGACACTGCTGGTTTCAGCCTAGTGTTTGCAGCTTGTCTTCTTCTGGCATCACCCTCCCTACCCTATCTCAGTGACTATATCATCTCTCCTTACTCCTGTCCAAGTGTTTGAAGTCAAATTATAACACCACTAGTATGTTTTTTATCCCCTTTGTCCTCTGGTTTCTGGGGTCTTCACATAGATTGTCTGGGTGAGAAAATGACACTTAGGCTCTCAGACTAACATCCCCACGACTTTGCTTTGTACTCAAGGAATTATCTTAGTATACACTATAACCTGGCAAAGCCAGAGGTCCCTGAACTCATGCTGTGGGATTGGACCCCATTGAATTTCCTTCTCTTGTTGTGGAATCCCCTTTATAGCCTCCATTAGAATCTTGGAGCTTTCAGCTTTTCAATCTATAGAAAGCCAAGTCAGCCATTCATTTAGGTCCTCAGAGGTCCAAATACCTCTGTTGACACTGGTTTAATCCTTTGGGTTTTTAATTTCCTTGCTTTGTACTGGAACATTCCACTTTGACAGAGGCTCAGGAAGTTAATTCCATTGGTCAACATAATGCATGGTGAAAGAAGTCTTGGAATACCTAGGAGACCAAATGGGCCTTGGGGATTTCTACAGTACTTGGCACTAAGAGGTCTTTGAACCTTAATGCTAAGGAACTGGTTGATTTAACTGCTTGCATGAGGGATTAAAAGAGCATCCCTGAATCCATGGCTCCCTGGGAAGCTAACACAATGGATCAGCTTTAACCTCTACTTCACCGTTTGGCTCAAGAAACAGCCATTGTGGAGTGGTTCAGACTGGAAGTTCCAGGAAATTAGAGTCCATTTGCCACTCAGGCTTTAGAGAGCTCCATTTAGAGGCTAAAGTTTAAAACACATTCATAAAGGGTGAAGAAGTTATAATCAAATGAGATTTGTGTGCCCTGCCAGCTACAGTGCCATGTTGGAACTAATAGCCATTGGTGTGACACTCTGGGTGGTAGGTGCTAATGTTTTAGCCAACTAAGACCTCTGCCTGTTAACAGCCTACATAATCCATTCTTAAAAGGCCATTTTTAAAAAAATAATCAGAAATCATGAGAATAGTCAGTGTTCCAGATCTGAACAGTTGTCCTGTGTTCTCTCCTGTGTGGTTCAGGACATCCTGGAAAGAAAGGTCCAAAAGGTGAAACAGGTCCCCCTGCATCAACTGGACAGAGAGGTCTGCCTGGGCTGAAAGGCCTTCCTGGATCTACAGGGTTAATTGGATTCCTGGGGAACTCAGGGTTGCCAGGGAATACTGGACTTTCAGGCCTGCCAGGTTGGAAGGGTAAGTGAAGTGATCAAAAAGGCACTAGTGGGTGCCACAAAGGAACATCCATGCTGCCAGATTGCCCTCCCCTTCTGCCTAGGAAAGGGGGATGAGGAGGGAGGTGGGCAGAGTTTTTAGTAACAAGATAGTTGGACAAGGCTAGTGCTAAGAGTCACACTCACTGCCTGCTGGGTGGAACACTGGCCTGAATAGCATAGTCAGTAAAGCCCAAGACAGTCATAGCCACATTGGGTTTACTCATTGTTTACTCATCTGTGGTAGGATCACTCCTACCACAGAGCCTGGTAGTTTTCATTTTCTGTTCTCATATCCTGCTAGACACCAGAGGTTGGGTGAGAGGCATTTCCATTTTATACAGGGGGAAGTGAGTGGTCTAATGTCACACAACTGGTTAGTAACAGTGCCAGACTAGAGTGCCTCCTGGCCCTGGGCTTTTTTTGTGTGTGTGCCACACATGAGATTTATTTTGACAAATCATAAAAGAGATGTCCACCTCGTCTTTCCATTTTGTTGCTTAGTGTCATGTCCCTGGTCAGGGAAATGGTATAATGTGTAATGACTAAGAGTTGAAGCTTTGAAGTTAAAGAAACCTGGGTTTGAATCTCTTTTCTGCAACTTCCTAGCTGTGTGACTTTGGGTTAGTTAACCTCTCTGATCTTCCATTTCCTTGTATGCACTAAAACAGGGATAATAATAGAAATTCTTGTTTCTTAACAGGTGAGAAGGGGTCTGTTGGACTGATAGGTTTTCCAGGGATACCAGGTCTCCCCGGGATTTCTGGTGCAAGTGGATTAAAGGGAATTCCTGGGTTGGCTGGAAAAATGGGACCATCTGGAAGGGCTGGTAGCCCTGGTGAAAAAGGTGAGCAGGGGAATTGAATTCTGGAATTGCCATTCATACTTCCCAAGGTACATTTTGTTTGTCAACTTTGTCATCCATGTGGCTTGTACCAGTCCTTTGTTAAATAATAAGATTTAAGGCTTCTGAATGAAATCCTTTTAAACCAAAAGACCCAATTTCTTCTATTACCACTGCATATTAGAGGCCTTGTCATACATTCCCAGATGTTCAACAGAGGATGGTTTTGAGTTCAGCTTAAAGTTGCTTGTGAAGTTTGGGCTTATGAAAAGATAGAGCATGCACACAAATGCAAAGTTGGGAAAACAGGGGCACAAAGAAGCTGGAAGGGCTCAGAAAGGGTGCTTGGGTGTGATGGATGAAAGAGCTGATATGAAAAGTCAGCTCATGCCTAACTTCTTGTCTGAGCTTCCTCTTGTGAGTATCTCATGATCTCCATCTCTGCAGGAGAAAGAGGAGATCCAGGGCCAGTTGGAATTCCCAGTCTAAGACCTCCAATGCTGAACCTCCAATTCAAAGGAGACAAAGGCTCTCAAGGCTCAACTGGATTGGATGGATTTTCTGGACCCAGAGGTGCTGGGGCAGGGATTGGGCAGGAGAAATGCCCCAGGAAGATTTTAGAACCAAACTCAAATCCCTTCCTGAGAAAAGACTTTGCACTACAAGGCTCCCCAGAGTGTCAGTGTGGGTGCCGGCATGGGATCCTAAGAGGATACCTTCCATTAGCCTGAGGGGCACCTGGACTTTGAGATTGCCAATTTTCACTGTCACTGTTTAAGCGAGTTTTTGAACCCCAGACTGTTGTACCCCTGGAGGAGCCTTGCAGATGGTAGGGCATGGGCACTGAATAGCTTTCCGAGTACTGGAGCAGACTAGACCTTACTGGCACTTCATAAGGGTGAAGACACCACCCCACTCCCACCTCTACTTCCATGTTAACTGTCCCCAAGCTGTACTTTGCCTGTCTGCAACCCAGGGCACCTGCACCTTTCTCTTGCCCAGAATCTCATTCCAAGCCATCTGTTTTTTTCCCAGGTGAGAAAGGAAAGGCTGGTCTCCATGGGCCACCAGGCTTGCCTGGAGCTCCTGGATTCCCCAATACCATCAAAGGACATATTGGGGAACCAGGCTCCCCTGGCTCCACAGGACTTCAGGGATTACCTGGCCAGAAAGGCTTACCTGGAATCTCAGGCTTCCCAGGAATGCCAGGAGAAAGTGTATGTGTGCACATATTTTTGTCTCCCCACCAGGAAGGTTCCTCTACAGCAAGAGGATATGTCTCCTTTGCCTACCATTTTGATCCTGACCCCTTTCCCAAGTCACCTAGACAAAGCCCTCTCTTTGAGTTTCATAGGTCTTTCCATCCTTTCCTGAACACCCACTTCTTTGGGCCTTTGTTCATGCTATCTCCCGACATGGCTAACTTCCTCCTCTGCAATTGCCTAAAACCTGCCCATCCTTCAGGGATCCCAGGTGCCTACTCCTCCAGAAGTCCCTGGGCTTCCACCATGCTGGCACACTATCCTTCTCATTACTTATTGGCCCTGTGTGGGATTGATTTTATGTGAGATTGTTGGGACTTGAGAACAAGAACTGCCTCATGTGCCTTTTAGTCTGCATCCCACTGCCCATATCCATTGAGTTTGGTTTATCATAAGAATTTGATACAGACTTCATGATGTTTTTGATTTCAGAAAGATCTTTGTTGCCTCCACAAGAGACAACAATTGGCAAATAATCAAATCTAGTTTCTTTGGTTCTTAAAAGGCAGAGTGGTAGAGTAGGCTTAACTATGAGATTTGGGTTTAAATCTTAGTCCCATCATTCATTAGCTCTGTGATTTTATGCATATTGCTTAACTTGCCCAAGCCTCACTTTTCTCATCTGTAAGAAATTAGAATAATCACACCTCCTTCAGACAGAAGTGAAGATCAATTGAGATACTACACCTAAAACACTTAGCATCGCATCTGGAGTGCATGGTAGACTATGAATGAATAGTAACAATAATAGCTGAAACCAGTTTGGCTCAGTGGTAGAGCGTTGGTCTGCGGACTGAAAGATCCCGGGTTCGATTCCGGTCAGGGGCATGTACATTGGTTGCGGGCACATCCCCGATAAGGGGTTTGCAAGAGGCAGCTGGTCGATGTTTCTCTCTCATCGACATTTCTAGCTCTCTGTAAAAATCAATAAAATATATTAAAAATAAATAAATAAATAAATAAATAAATAAATAAATAGTAGCAATAATAGTAGTATTGAAGGGACTAAAATTTAGTCACTAATGAACTAAATCACAGAAAATCCATGCTCTATGCAGGCAAAGTCCTCATCCTATAAAAGTGTCAGTCCATCTTGTAGAGAGAAAACACACACACACACACACACACACACACACACACACACACACACACCTCTGAAGCAATTTCAAAACAAATAGTTCTCAACTGGGTGGTCCTGACTACTCACACACTGGGAGGGATGGAATCAAAGTGGAAAGCATTTTGAGAGGAGTCAGAGCATAAGCAAGGCTAGAATTAGTAGACATGCAATGTGCAGGAAAAAGCCAGGCATATGGATGAGATGTCCTAAGCAGTAGTTTGGTGACCACAGTGACCCAGTACAGAACTCAGACTCCACTCAAGGCACTAGGTAGCATGTTTCTTTACTGGGTACATTTCAAAATGAATCAAAACCATACCAAATACCAGGAGAATAGTATTGGTGGCAGCTGATTGTGTTGGACATTAGCTAATGAAGCAGTTTTTCCTGTGAACCTACACATACAGCTTGTTACCTGGTAACATAAGGACATTATGTTCCCTGCTGAACCTGTGGCACATGGCTAACCTCGCATAGTGAAGCAATACTTTTTCTTGTGCATAATGGCTCCAGAGGATTGTCATGGGCAATGGTAGCCAACTGTCTGCATAGCACCCCTAGTGCCAGGCCTGACTGTCATGTTCTGTATTTTCTAAGAGACTTGCTAGAACACCTTGATTTTCCAAGATTCCAACTTTAATAGGCATTAGGAAGTTATGAATGATAAGACCCTGATTAATCACAGATCAAATTCTTCTAAAAAAAAAAAAAAAAAAAAACAAGGATGAATTTCAATCCATTGTTCATCATCTTCCCCTCTGCAGGATGTCACACCTTACTTCCACCAGTCCACTCCTGTCACAGAGTACATGATAGACACATCTGGCAGTGACTCAGGGAGGGGAGTAGGTGTAAGAATGGAAGGCCCTGAGTTATGGGCAGAAATAATGATCCCCATATTGCTTTGAAGGGTTTGCAGGGTCTCAGAGGAGCTCCTGGGCTCCCAGGAGTATCTGGCCTCCCAGGTTCAAAAGGTAAGGAGTACTTTCTCTTTTAATATGTTTTTATTCCAGAGCAAGGTGAATTTCTAGTAGTCCTAGGGTTCTCCTGGTTGAGGGAGAAGTAAGATTATGTGTTTAGGAGAAAGTGAGTTGGTTTACATTTCCCCTTTGGTCAAACCTCCCCTCCTTTTCAGTCTTTGTTCCTCAAAGACATGTAACAAACAGTGCATTAAACCCTCCTGCCTTCCAGACTCAGCAGTAGAGGAGAACCTAGGCTCTAAAGTATCTCTTCCCCTACTGAACTCAATTCACTGAGCAGGAAAATTCCCATTCTTGCTGTCATCACTGTTCCATTTTGGTGATGTTTTAGGGCCCTTTCCATTATCTTATCTGCCCAAACTGGGTCTACTGATATATTTTCCAATTGATATATGCTATGTGTAGCATCATTTCATGCCAACAAACTAGTAGCATCTCAGCCCTTTGTTGATGATTGGTCACTTTTAACCCAATGGGTAATTTTGTTAAGGAGCACTTCTGGCTATATTGAATCTGGAAAGATTTTTGCCTTAAAAAGATCTCCTTTTGACAAAATGAGCTATAAGTTCTAAACATTTGAACAATGTTTTGATATCCCAGGAGATCAAGGCCAGACACTTGGACTTCCTGGTAGCCCAGGACCTAAGGGACAACCTGGGGAACCCGGTTCGAAAGGTAAGATTGTTGTGCTTTTTCTCACATGTCTCACAGACTCTTAAAAACTTAAGAGTTAAAGGAAATTTGGAGGTAAACCCCAAGCTCTACAACTTCAATCCAGTGCAGAAAAATTCCTACCTGACATGTGTCCACTCACAGGCAGCCCACAGTTTTCCCCAAGCAAACCAGCCTACTCTTTTTTCAAGATTTGTAGCCTTATATGGGATAAGTTTAAAATCTGTGGAATAGTGGTATCCACCCCTTTAATTTATAGTTATCTAAACTGCCTCTTGAACATTTCCACCTATTGATCTTATTTCTAGGGGCACTCAGAACAAGTTTACTTACTTTTCAATTGGGCAGCACTTTTCAAATGTGAAGACAGCTGCTGTGATCCTTTTCAGAGTTTCTTCATTGGATATAGCCATCTTGACAGTTCAAGTGGCTTCAAATTCCTCCTCTCCCTCTTTAAAGGAAGAACATACTGCCCAAAATTTGACCTGATCACTCAGTATTTTTCTTGATTTGTAGGTATGAAAGGAAAATCTGGACTAGTTGGTGACATGGGTGTTCCTGGAATTAAAGGTGAAGATGGGAAAGTTGGTATTTCTGGAGATGTTGGCTTTCCTGGCTCCCCAGGTACCATGCCACATGACAACTTTATTATGAAAAAAATAGGATTACCTTCAAGGCATGACCCATTCTAAACTTTTGCCTTGGTTTTACTTTTAGGACCCCCTGGGATTTCAGGCATAAAAGGAAACCCAGGGCTTCCAGGTTCTCCAGGCCACCAAGGGTCACCTGGGCCCCTGGGACCACTTGGCCTAATAGGAACAAAAGGTATGTGTATTTTGGATAAGCCAGTTGCATAAGGAGTCCTTACCTCAAAAAAGGACAGCAAGAGACATTATTAAGAGACATTAGCTCAAGTTAAGCCACGTTCAGAAGAGCCATTTACTGGGCCATGTGAGGGATAATGGGAAAGAAAGATTAAGAGGAAGAAAGGAGAGGATCCAAGATGGCTGCTCAGGTAGACACCTAACCGCAGCAGCACACAACAATTTCAATGGAATACAAATAAAATGTAGAGTGGACATTGTCCAGAACTACAGGTAGTCGACTGACTAAAAATTCTACAACAAGAAGGAAAGAGAAAACCAGAAGGAAAATCAGAGGAGCTGAGAAAGCCTAAGGTACAGAGACATGCTGCGCACATGATCGCGCGTGTGTGCGGAGAGGATGCAGCCAGAGAGGAAGAGAAGGCTGGGTGCCTGCCTGGCGTTTCCTAGCAGGAAGGAAATAAAAGCCCAGGCCTGGGCTGAACCCCAGAACCGGCAGCGCTGAATCCCAATTATGGGCCAGACCCTGGGGACCCAGGCTCGGGCAGGGGGAGATGGGGCTGTGAGGCGGAATCCCAGGGGAGCGGTGAAAAGCAGAGCCCCTGGAATCACGCACATTGCGCGCAAAGGATGGAATGTTGACTCTGATGCTGGATTGCCCTGGCGGGAAGAAACAAAACCTCTGGCAGTGCTGAGCCCCAGTCCCGACTGCTCTGAACCCCAGTTCTAGGCCAATCCCTGGGGACCCAGGCTCAAGCAGAGGGAGACGGGGCTGTGAGGTGGAGTCCTGGGAGAGCGGCGAAAGGCCGAGCCCCTAGAGTCGCACACATTGCACACAAGGGAAGGAATGTTGACTCTAATGCGGGATTGCCCTGGAGGGAAGGAAACAGGAGCTCCGGCTGTGCTGAGCCCCAGTTTCGACTGCTCTGAACCCCAGTTCTAGGCCAGACCCTGGGGATCCAGGCTCAGGCAGGGGGAGATGGGGCTGTGAGGCGGAATCCCAGGGGAGTGGCGAAAAGCAGAGCCCCTGGAGTCGCGCACATTGCATGCAGAGGACAGAATGTTGACTCTGATGGCATATTGCCTTGGTGGGAAGAAACTAAACCTCCAGCGGTGCTGAGCCCCAGTCCCGACTGCTCTGAACTCCAGTTCTAGGCCAATCCCTGGGGACCCAGGCTCAAGCAGAGGGAGACAGGGCTGTGAGGTGGAGTCATGGGGGAGCGGTGAAAAGCAGAGCCCCTGGAGTCACGCACATTGCGCGCAAAGGACGGAATGTTGACTCTGATGCTGGATTGCCCTGACGGGAAGAAACAAAACCTCTGGCGGTGCTGAGCCCCAGTCCCGACTGCTCTGAACCCCAGTTCTGGGCCAATCCCTGGGGACCCAGGCTCAAGCAGAGGGAGACGGGCTGTGAGGTGGAGTCCTGGGAGAGCGGCGAAAGGCCGAGCCCCTGGAGTCGCGCACATTGCACACAAGGGAAGGAATGTTGACTCTAATGCGGATTGCCCTGAAGGGAAGAAAACAGGAGCTCCGGCCGTGCTGAGCCCCAGTTTTGACTGCTCTGAACCCCAGTTCTAGGCCAGACCCTGGGGATCCAGGCTCAGGCAGGGGGAGACGGGCCTGTGAGGCGGAATCCCAGGGGAGCGGCGAAAAGCAGAGCCCCCGGAGTCACGCACATTGCATGCAGAGGACAGAATGTTGACTCTGATGGCATATTGCCTAGGTGGGAAGAAACTAAACCTCCAGCGGTGCTGAGCCTCAGTCCCGACTGCTCTGAACTCCAGTTCTAGGCCAATCCCTGGGGACCCAGACTCAAGCAGAGGGAGACAGGGCTGTGAGGTGGAGTCATGGGGGAGCGGCAAAAAGCGGAGCCACTGGAGTCGCGCACACTGCGCAGAGGACAGTCTGTTGACTCTGATGCTAGACTCCCCTAGCGGGAAGGAGAAAAAAGCTCCAGACTGGAGGAACATGACGAGGAGCAGGAGCCCCTGCCAGACACCAGCCAGTCGGGTGCCCGCAAGGAGCCGGGCGACGGGGCCCCCAGGGGGTGGGGCTGCCCCTGGGCCTTCAACCGCTGAGCGCGGGCCACTGAGCCGAGGCAGGGGGCTGCTTCCTGGGTGGTGCCGACCTCGGCAACAGGCTGAACAGCGCAGGAGCCCGCGGAGAACAAAGGAGTGCCACAGGCCAACCTGCTGAGCTTCCAGGACAAGGAGGAAGAAACCAAAGAAGTTTTCAATGTGAAGAAATCAAATGAGTGCAAAAGATAGTAAAATTACTTAAGAAAGAATACAAAGATCTTAAAAATCGAAGACTAATTCAGAACTCAACTCAGCAGCCAACATTGCAACATAAATGCATTCTAAAAAAAAAAAAAAAAAAAAAAAGGACAGAATGTTGGAACGGTGGTAGCCAAGCCTAGAGTGGCCAGGCACAAGGCAGTGCCAATCAGGCCCGGAGCAGCAACAGCCAGGCCCCAGAGCAGCAGCAGCCAGAACCAGAACAACAACAGCCAGGCCTGGAGCAGCCAGACCTGGGGCAGTGGCAGCCAGGCCTGAAGCGGAGGTGGCCAAGCCCAGGGTGGCCAGTCCAGGAACACCAAGGCCCGGAGTGACCAGGCCCGGAGCAGCCGGGCCCAGAGCAGCCGGTTCGGGAGCAGCCAGACCCAGAGCAGCAGCTGCCAGGCCTGGAGCGGCCAGTCCTGGAGCGGCCAGGCCCAGAGCAGCAGCTGCCAGGCTGGGAGCGGCCAAGCCCAGAGCGGCTGGGCCCAGAGCAGCTGGGTCGGGAGCAGCCAGGCCCAGAACAGCAGCAGCAACCAAGCCTGGAGCAGACAGGCCAGGAGTGGCCAGGTCCAGAGCAGCCAGGTCCACTGCAGCCGGGTCGGGAGCAGCCAGGCTCAGAGCACCACCAACCAAGCCTGGAGCGGCCAGGTCGGGAGTTGCCAGGCCTGGAGCGGCCAGGCCCGGAGCAGCTGAGACCAGAGCAGCCGGGTCGGGAGCAGCCAGGCCCAGAGCAACAGCAACCAAGCCCGGAGCAGCCAGGTTGGGACCTGCCAGGCTTGGAGCAGCAGCTGTCAGGCTGGGAGCGGCGGAGCAGCCAGGCCTGGAGCAGCAGCTGTCAGGCTGGGACGTCCAGGCCCGGAGCAGCCGGGCCCAGAGCAGCCGGGTCAGGTGCGGCCAGGCCAGGAGCAACAGCAGCCAGGCCGGGTGCAGCCAGGCCCAGAGCAGCCGGGCCCGGAGCAGCCGGTTCGGGAGCAGCCAGGCCCAGAGCAGCACCAACCAAGCCCAGAGCAGCCAGGTTGGGAGTGGCCAGGCCCGGAGTGGCTGGGCCCAGAGCAGCCAGGCCCAGAACACCCTGGTTGGGAGCAGCCAGGCCCAGAGCAGCAGCAACCAAGCCTGGAGCAGCCAGGTCGGGAGCTGCCAGGCCTGAAGCGGCCGGGCCCAAAGCAGCCGGACCCAAAGCAGCCGGGTCGGGAGCAGCTGGGTCCAGAGCAGCCGGGTCGGGTGCCGCCAGACCAGGAGCAGCAGCAGCCAAGCCCGGAGCAGCCAGGTTGGGAGCGGCAGTGACCTGACCTGGAGCAGCTGGTTATGGAACAGACCAGAGCAACAGAAGCCAGGCCTGGAGCAGCCAGGCCCGGAACAGTTCACTCCTCCCCTACCCCTGCCCCTGCCCCAAGGCTGCCTTTCAGACATGGCTGGAAACTTTTGTGGGAACTTGAGGGTCTGCTGAATCAAGTGATGAAGGCTTAGATCTGGATGTGTTGAGTTAGTATAGCGCTGAGGTGTTGATCTGTGAGTGCCTTGTGTGGGGCCTGGATGAGGTTGATTGATCTATTTGGAAATGTCTTTTGTGTGAAGTGTATCCTTGGGCATGTGGAGGTATTATTATTTTGAGAAAATGCTAAGTATAATAACTGATTTACTATCTAAAAAATTTAAAGTTCTGAAAGTTTAAAGTCTCTTGCCAAAAAGAGGTTTTAAAGCTAACACCTTAATTTTAATGGAGAAAGGGAATGACAAGCCCTTCCCACCCCGAAAAGGTAATCCAATTCCAGCCAGCAGCTATGTTTAAACAATGTGTCCATTTACACTTCAATGGCTACACCTTTTGATAGCCTAAGGGCAATTTTACATGTAAACAAGTTTGCTCTCAATTCCCAGGGCAGAAAAAAAAAAACAAGGTTTAAAATTATTAGATTTTAAAATTTATTCTTAGAAGTGTAAAAGTTTATTAATTAAAAAAAACAACAACAACAAAAAAAAGGAGATTGAAAAACCTGATGAACAATAATAGCTGTTCATTGTAGTAGAGTCGGCTATATGGGAGGAGAGTGGACTGACTGTTCTCGGGGAAAGGGAGGGAGGAAGAGACTGAACATGAACTGTGCACCTATGGATGAGGACAATGGGAGGTGGAGAGGGGGCGAAGGGTGGAGTGGGAACGTGGTGGGGGGGAAGAAATGAGGAACCTTTGTAATAATATGAACAATAAAGATTGATTTTTTTTAAAGAGGAAAAAAGGAGGACAAGTATAAATGGGAACAAAAGGAGATAGAATTCATGGAGAGAAGGATTATCAGGAAAGGTCAATGCCATGGCATATAAAAGTATTTCCCTAACTTAGAAATTGGGCAGTGAGTGTCTGGGAGTTGGCAATTCAAGGTATTGATATTGCTACTCTGAATTCTTCTTAAAGAAACCTAATTATCATCCTGTTCTTAAAGCTATACAGGTTTCTAATAAGAGTTAGGAAAACTTAGGGTGGAGTGTATAGGTGGAGAATGATCTAGTCCCGCTTAGGGCATTAAGCAATGCCTCAAGAAAGACCCTGACCTTTAAAATGAGGACTTTGCCGCCTGGCTGGTGTGGCTGAGTTGGTTGAGCATTGTCTCATGTACCAGGAGGTCACAATTTTGATTAATTGTCAGGGCACATGCCGGCGTTGTAGGCTTGACCCCTAGAAGGAGGCATACAGGAGGCAGCCAATAAATGTTTCTCTCTCATCCATGTTTCTATCTCTTTTCCTTTCATACTTTTTTTAAATGAAGACTTTACAATGCTCTTGGGGACAAGACCTTTTGCTGGCCCTTCGTGATTAAGAGTTGCTAAAGCCATTTCTGATACTCTTTCCCCTTAGGTTATCCTGGAATTCTTGGTTTACATGGACTAAATGGGCTTCCAGGAACCAAGGGTACCCATGGAACTCCAGGTAAGGAAGACCCTAAAGGGTAAGAAAGAGAGCATCAGCTCTAATAGAAGCCTGGCAGGGGTTGTCCAGGAGTTCTTGACTGTGGTGTATGCCATATGCTTAGACTCCTAGATCTTTTTGCTAGTCCCCAATTTGGACTGCCTTGATATGTGTAGGAAAGAGGATAGGATTTGTCCCTCTACTTGAATGATCTCGCTTTCTTTTATTTCAGGCAGGGCCCTAATAATTGAGTTATGCATGAGGTCTTCATCCCCTCCTCTACACACACACACACACACACACACACACACACACACACACACACACTGAGTTCTGTTCTCCTCTCCTCCTAGGACCTAGTATAACTGGTGTACCAGGTCCAGCTGGATTGCCTGGTCCCAAAGGAGAAAAGGGTTCTCCAGGAATTGGCACTGGCGCCTCAGGCAAGCCAGGCGTGAAAGGACAAAAAGGTGGCCAAGGTAAGTGGCCCCAAATCAGGCCTTGTAGAAGCTAAGGCCTGGTTGGGGAGCCAGGGTTGGGTTTTGTCATGGCCATGCAGCTCACAGGGTTGAGCAGTGCATGTCTTCACATCTCTGGGAATCTCAGAACCTAGTGGAACAGACTGCTGAGGAAAAGAATGTAGGCATGCCTAGGGCTATCCTGGGAAGTGGTTTGAGGCAGGAGTTTATAGAGTGCTCTCTAGCCCCCAGATACTCTCCCTTATTTAAACTAAGGGCTTCTCTTACACATTTGGCCCAGAGCCTGGATTTAATGGTCCTGAGTGACAGGATTGCCCACTTAGTGGTTTGTCAGAAATTCCTCATTGTCCAGTGTAGATGGGAATCCCAGGAACTAAGGAAGACAGCATGGCTACTGGAAGGAGTCCAAGACTAAGAGGATAAATGTCTGTGACAAGTACACAACAGGCACACAATTAGGATTTGTTGGGTTTACTAAAAATCAGATTTTGCCCTAATCTCGGCCCCTGACTCACACACTGAAGTTCCATTATGAGCCTCCCTTTCCTCACCTCTCAAATAGTGAGAGTGAATTTTGATTATTGTACCCTCCTTAGGAATGTTCTGAAGACCCATATATATCCCACTCAGTACAAAACAGGAAATGGCTAAGAGTATGGGCTCTACTGAATTAAAATTCCAGCTCTACCTCTCACTAGCTATATGAACTTGAACAAGGAAGTTACTTGCCCCTCAGTTCCAAATGGACTCCCAGTTTTCCTTTTCTATAAAATGAACACAGCAGAGGTTTGATGAGGAATTAATAAGGAGTAAGCACTTAGCACAGCATCTGACATATAGTCGTTGCTCAAGAAATGTTGGCCATTATATCATTACGTGTTAACTGAGGGAAAATATTTGCAAAATGTTCTGTTCCTCATTGTTTGTGGGTCCGAGGTCCCATATTTTACTTACTTATGTGCATGGCTTTTTTGTTTTGTTTTTGTTTGTTTGTTTGTTTGTTTGTTTTAACAAATATATTTTATTGATTTTTTACAGAGAGGAAGAGAGAGGGATAGAGAGTTAGAAACATCGATGAGAGAGAATCATCGATCAGCTGCCTCTTGCACACCCCCTACTGGGGATGTGCCCGCAACCAAGATACATGCCCTTAACCGGAATTGAACCCGGGACCTTTCAGTCCGCAGGCCGACGCTCTATCCACTGAACCAAACCGGTTTCGGCTGTGCATGTTTTTATAACGTGCATGTTTGTATTTCCAGGATCTATGTTCATTCATACATTAATTCATTTCCTGCTTTATTTTATATTGGTACATCTGCTGTTCCTGTTTATTCTTTCCTTTGGTCTGGACCAACCTGTTCTTTTCTAGAAGCCAGCAGGTTCTCCAAAATGAGGGCTGAAACAGGGTCTGGGCCTAAAGGGAGATTGTCTGACTTCTTTCACAAGAAATAGAGAAGAGGGAATCTGGATAGAAGCATAAGGGCATTGCCTTTTCTGTTTTCAAATATGGACTATGAATGCCTGGTCATTAAGTTATCAATTTCCTTTAGCTATCTGAGGTAATAAAATCACAGTAAACAGCACATGACAAGATGGATACATTTCAGTAACATAATGTTGGGGCAGGAGAGGGTAATTACCAGAGGAAAGCATTTGGTATAATTCCGTTGCTAAATGTTCATAATTAAACTAAAAAAACCAAAATATTGTTTAGGATACAGATAAGCATGGTCAAACAGTGATGAAAAAGGAACAATGAACAAAAAATTCAGGAGTGAGTGCCTCTAATTGGGAGGGAAGTTGGTGTGAATCTTAGAAGGAAAAGTAATGCTATCTTGTTTTTCTTAGGGGGTTGGAATAGATGTTCATTGTATCCGGATTATTTTTTTACAGATTATTTATAAATTTCTTCTGCTTTTCTCAATATCTAATTAAAACAACTTGTTTTAAAAGCAAATATTATAATTCCCCCACCCATAGGAACTTATCTCTGATTTGATCATAGAAATCCATGTAAAATGAGGGTTTACCCCTAAGAAACTTGTTAAAGCAACCCTGAACCCTATAATAATAAAAATAACTTCAAATTACATCCTTTAGCCGAAACCGGTTTGGCTCAGTGAATAGAGCATCAGCCTGCAGACTGAAAGTCCCAGGTTCAATTCTGATCAAGGGCATATACCTTGGTTGTGGGCACATCCTCAGTAGGGGGTGTGCAAGAGGCAGCTGATCAATGATTCTCTCATCGATGTTTCTAACTTTCTTTCTATCCCTCTCTCTTCTCTCTGTAAAAAATCAATAAAATATTTTTTTAATTTACATCATTCATCTTTATATTTGTACTAACTATTTAGAAGCTGAATTTGTATGTTTAGGCTTTTTTAATCCTCTGACACAGGAATGAGTTGGGAAAATATGCCATCTTGAGTTTTTATATGCTCATTTAAGTGGTTGTTTTTTCTACTCCTTGAGGTTAATAGTATTTTATTCCAGATTTAATGGTAAATTTATATAATTATATAATAAAATAAAAGTTAAAAAGAGGAGGTGGCTCCAAAAACTGAAATGGGAATTTTTATAATCAGTGTGCTGCCCACACTTAGTCTACTATATAAGTTGTCTCATTTACTGGTTTTGTACAATTTCAGCAATTTTTTCAGGGGAAAAATATTTTTTTTCTTTTTATTCACTTTTGTGAAAATGAAAATAACTTCAAAGGTTTATCAAGAAACAGTTGACAATATTAAAAGTAGTACCATGTGGCTATGCAAATAGTTGTTTGTTCTTTGTATTTTTATTTTGTTTCTTTTTCAGACTTGTAATAATTGGAGACTTTTCTTGAAACTTATTTTTCTTTATATTTCATCAGCATTCAATTAATTAATGAACTTATAAAAAACACCTGAATTAACCAGTCTGCTATCTCTCTCTCTCTTTTTTTTTTTTTTACAAGTTTTCATGGGTGTACTTTTAATAAAATGCAACTAATATTTTTTAATTTTCTTGTCATAAACAAAAAAATAATCTCAACCACCGGGATATCTTATCAACCAATTTAAATCTATTTCTCTTTATTGAATATCTTCTAGAATACATCAAAGTAATAAGCACATTTCTTTTTTTTTAAATATATTTTTATTGATTTTATACAGAGAGGAAGGAAGAGAGATAGAGAGTTAGAAATATCAATGAGAAAGAGTCATCGATCAGCTGCCTCTTGCACACCCCCTACTGGGGATATGCCCGCAACCAAGGTACATGCCCTTGACCGGAATCGAACCCGGGACCTTTTAGTCCCCAAGCCGACGCTCTATCCATTGAGCCAAACCGGTTTCGGCGATATAAGCACATTTCTTCCATGCTAAAAGTATGTGAACCTCTACATTTGTATGTATGACTTTGATGTGTTTTTCCATCAAGAGTACCATCTACATATTCAATGTGTGTATATTAAATAAATCTGTCACCAGTTAAACTTTTTTGTTTTGAACATATTATAATAGAGATCATTTCACAAACAGAAAACTTGTAAGGCAGTATTAAAATGTAGCAAACAAGTATTCTGTATCTACTCTAATAAATAACTATTCTCTTTGGCCAAAAAAAGAGAAAGGGATTTAGTAGAGAAATTTGTTCTCTAAGCTCAATTAAGCAAGCATTTCATTAATATGAATTACCTACAAAAGTGTCTTTCAGTTTGCCCTAGAAGCTGTAGAAGTTAGCTCTAGAAGACATCAGGAAGCACAGAGCCCTGGGCACCTCCATTCTGACCCAGCAGGTGTCTATTCTGACTGTTTGGGGACTGTGCCTACATCTATAAGCTTTTTTGAACAACATCAGACATAACTGGCTAACTTAATGAAATGTTCTACAGGAAGAGTAGATTTAAAAACACTTTGGGAAACATCAATTCCATGTGCTGCAGTCATGCATTTTATTCCCTGATTTGAGGGAAATTAAAATATTTCCATTACTAGTGAGGTTGGGGAGCTAGAAATTGTCAAAGCTTTATTATACCAATTAAATGTAGCACCTGCTGAGACAGGAGGGGGGAGTCTCTGAGCCCTGTCAGCTACTTCATCTGCTGACTGCCAAAGTAGAATGAAGGGAGAAGAGCCCTCTGCTGGCATCTGTTTGTCTGGCAACTACCTAAGGTCTCCTAATTTCTGTGTACATATCCATTTTCTCTGAGGGAGCCTGGCCCCCTCCTGGACACACAAAGTCCATGCAGTTCCTTTTATTTGTCCTTTGCAGGTTTCCCAGGTCCCCAAGGTCCTGCTGGTCCCCCTGGTGCCCCAGGCCTCTCCTTGCCGTCAGTAATAGCAGGACAGCCTGGAGACCCTGGACGACCAGGCCTAGATGGAGAACGAGGTAAAGACAGGAAGTCCAAAAGAGGGCTGGCCATCACCTTTTGTCTGGAGTTTGGGATGGTCCCATATACAGTTCAGCCCCATCTCTATGTCTGGATTGCATGGGCCTGTTCAGCCTCACTTCCCTCCCCTAGCAGCAACATGGAGGACTGGAACAGGCTGCTTTTTGCTAAAAGGGTTTGGGAAGGTCTGGGAACTGGAACCCCACAGATGCCAGAGAACATTCTCTGCCCTGAGGACAGGCTTTGACCTCCTATCAGACCCAAGGTTTTCAGCAGTGGTCACTTCCTGCTCACCTGCCCTTACTTATCCCTCTTCCCATCTCATTACTAGGCCAATCAGGCCTCCCAGGCCCCCCAGGCCCCCCTGGGCCATCTTCGAATCAAGGTGACCCTGGAGACCCTGGCTTCCCTGGAATTCCTGGTCCTAAAGGGTCTACGGGAGACCAAGGAATTCCAGGTTTTTCTGGCTTCCCTGGAGAGCTAGGACTGAAAGGTATGATTGTTTGCTTGGCTGGCTGTTGGGCCCTTTCCCACTCTGTAGTCAGACATGGCTCCTTCCTATAGCCCTGTGAAGAGAGGCCAACTGATAATACTCTTCCCACCCTCACCTCTGCCTAGTCTCTACTCCCCACAACCAGTACCATCATGCCAGGCTCTGATTTGCTTTCCTTTGGATTTTGCCAGGCATAAGAGGTGAGCCTGGCTTCATGGGGACTCCAGGCAAGGTTGGACCACCTGGAGATCCAGGATTTCCGGGGATGAAGGGAAAGGCAGGCCGAAGAGGTGAGTTGAGAGTATGTGGTAGGCTGATCATAAGCTCGTGGCAATATTTCTGATTCCATCAGCTACCAGGACTGAAAGCTACTGCAGATTTGCCCCCATGGATCCTGCCACTGGTCTCCTTATTATACATTAGGGGGTATTGGGTTTGTATTTACATTACCACCCACCCATTTGCTCAATCCAGAAATGAAGCACCATCTTTCCCATCCTTTACCACCACCTCTGTCACTCTCACCTATAGCAAGCCCTGAGGACTGTGTCATCTAAATGTGCATTGCATCCACTCACCTCTTATCACCTCCACCACTACCACCCAGGTCCAAGCCATCAACATTTCCCACATGAATCATTGCAGTGACCTGCTCATTGGTCTCCCTATTTCCATTGTGCACCTCCACTGGTGATCATTTCTCCACACGATGGTGAGAGATCTTATAAAAACTTAAATCATCCACTGACTTCTATGGCATATAAATCAATTAACTATGACCACAAAGCCCTATGTGATGCCTCCCTCTCTTTCCTCATCACCAGCCCTTTCCCTTTGCAGCTCACTGTGCTCTTGCCAAACTAGCCTCTCTCAGTTATTGAAAAACATCTGGCCTTTGTACATGCTACTTCTACTTCCTGGAATACTTGTGCCCCTCACCACAGCTCTTTCTAATGTTTCAATGGTCTCAGCAGTGTCAATGCTTATTAGATGAAACTTACTACTCTCTCTAAAGCAGGTTCTCTACTTCATAGCCCCCTTTCTCCCTCCCATTGTCACTGCACTGTTCATTTTCTTTGTAGCACTTCTCACGATTTGCAGTAAGATTAATGGTATTTGTCAGAGTATATATTGTTCATCTTTATCACCAGACCATAACCTCCATAAACATCTGTCTTATTCCCTGATTTACACAGTAGGCACTCAAGAAATACTTGTGCAATGAATAAGTAAGCAAATTGTTTTGTTTGGCTTTAATAGCAAGCCAGCTGCCTGCATTTGGGTCCCTAGGCTGCGATGCCAACTGAATCTTGGGAATTAAAGGTATCCCCTCAGCCTCCTTGGCACTGTGTTCTGACCAGTGAATGAGTAAACTAACTATCCCAGTCCCAAGCCAAGCCTCAGACCACCATAATTACAACATGTACCAGTCTCTGTGCTGAGCCCTGAGAGGATAAGATAAATACAATTTAGCCCATCATCAAGGAGCTATCAATCCACTGGAAAGGTTGATGAGTAAACAGGACATTATGTAAAGTGTGGTGAGAGACATTCTGGTGGCATTCCGTGGAGATTGTGGGGACAAAGAGGAAGGGCAGAAAGCTGGTGATTTTGAGGCAGAAGGAAGGCTGCCTCCTCCGCCTCTACCTGACATTTCCATTCCTCCTACCCACCCATAGGCTTTTCTGGCCCCCAAGGTGCTCCGGGCCAAACATCAATTGCAGAAGCCATCCAGGCTCCTTCTGGACCCATGGGTGTCCCAGGCATCAATGGCATCCCTGGTCTCACCGGGGATCCTGGGGTTCAAGGCCCTTTAGGCCTACAAGGTAAGGACAGTTCAAGAGAAAGATAACTTCTCTGGTAGCTGAGACAGTCTTGGGTGAGAGGCTGAACAAATTGGCTGGAAAGCCCAGCTCTAGGGGTCATTTTCCTCAAGCATCTTCCTTAAGCATTTCCTCTGCTTCTCAAAGAGTTGCCAAAAATATATATAATTGATTTTTACATAGAGGAAAGGAGAGGGATAGAAAGCTAGAAACATCAATGAGAGAGAAACATCAATCAGCTGGCTCCTGCACACTCCCTACTGGGGATGTGCCCGCAACCAACCATGCCTTTGATCAAAATCAAACCTGGGACCCTTCAGTTCGCAGGCCAACACTTTATCCACTGAACCAAACCAGTTAGGGCAAGTTACTAAACTTCTTGCCAGGAAGAAATGCTAGCAAAACCAGCAATTGTACTTGGTTTTAGAAACTGTATGGGCAAAGCATAACAGCGAGACAGCTTGACGCTCACTAACATGCTATTGAGAGAAAGGAGTCTGGAGGAAGGTGAAAAGCAATGGAGAAAATATTGGTCTGGGGAACAGGAAACCCAGCTTCTTATCCCAGTTTTCCCCTTGACTGGAGTAAGTTAGCAGTCTGGGCTTCAATGTCCTCATTTCTGGCAATGAGATACCTCCATTCTTCCCAGCGTTGTTTGGGATATAAAAGGAAGGAAGGAGGAAATAGATGTGAAGCAGCTCAGAAGGGCTAAGTTTAGAGTGCATTCCCAGGGCCTAGATGACCCAACATGAACTAAGGACTAGCCCAGGAAACTCAGCCCTGAGCTCAATGTGAGCATCAACATGACAGACAGTGTGTTCTCTTCTGATGAGTCCTGGGCATGACATATGAGTCCCCTCCTCCAGACCCTCCATATTGAGTAACCTGCTGTGGGTCTTCTCTCTTTGTAGGCTCCAAAGGTTTGCCTGGCATCCCTGGCAAAGATGGCCTGAGTGGGCTCCCTGGCCCACCTGGGGCTCTTGGTGATCCCGGTCCCCCTGGACTGCAAGGACCTCCAGGATTTGAAGGTCTGGCAATGTCAGCACTAGGGGCAGAGGGTTGTTGTTGTTGTTTTTTTTTCGTTTTTTTGAGGGTTTAAGGCTTGGTGGTGAGTTAAAATCTCAAATCTGAGAACTAGGAAACTTAGTGGTAAAGCTTGACACTACCCAGAGACTAGAAAACTTGACTCTAATTCATTTCCTTTGAGCCTGTGAAGGATTAGAGCCCTATATTCCTAAAGAGAAAGGTATGTTCCAAATACTTTTCTGGGTTGTCTTCCAACTCTTAAGACCCCTGACTGTATTGTATAGCATGACCTTCTGTCCCACATCTCCCCTTTTCTACCTAGGAATTGTGTTGTGGGTGGGAGGGGTGTGGAACAAGAGATAAGAAAATTTGAGACCAGGTATGGTTTTTTTTACTACTTATTATACTTCCCATTTTTATATCAGAGATAGCAAATCAGTTGTCCTGAGTAGAGAACAGTTCTGAGGCTCTGTGAGAAAGTGGTATAATTATTTTTCTCAGGCAGGAGAGGAGGGTGCAATTTGCCCCCTAATCCCAACTCTGCTTTTGCTGCCTCTGCTTCATCAGGTAAAGGTACTTAGTTACCTACTATAAGAGTCTACAAGGCTGGCCCAAGAAGTATCCTCCCTTGCCCCCTCTTAGAGAACCAAAGTCAGGTGATGGGACGGAAGCTGGATAGTATGCTTTTGAAAATGGGGATTCTGTAACTGGGTACAGTAGTCTCAATATCTGTGGGTAATACATTCTGAGACCCCCAGTGGATGCCTAAGACCACAGAGAGTACTGAATTTTATATATACTGTTTTTTTCCTAAATGCATGCCAATGACAAATTAGAACTTATAAATTAGACACAGTAAGAGATTAACATTAATAATAAAATAGAACAATTATAACAATACTAGAGGCCTGGTGCATGGAATTCATGCACGTGGTGGGGTGGGATATGGGGGGAGGTCCCTCAGCTCGACCTGCACCCTTTCCAATCTGAGACCCCTTGGGGGAGTCTAACTGCCAGTTTAGGCCATATCCTACAATCTAGGACCTCTGGCTCTTAACTGCTTGCCTGCCTGCCTGCCTGCCTGCCTGCTTGCCTGATTGCCCCTAACTGCTTCTTCCTGCCAACCTGATCACCCCCTACTTCCTTCCCCTAAACAACCTGATCACCCCCAATTGCCCTTGCTTGCCTGATCAACCACAATTGCCCTCCCCTGCTGGCCTGATCAACCACAATTGCCCTCCTCTGCCATGATCTGCCTTCTCCAACTGGACATGCCTCCTTTGCGTGAGGCAGTGGAGACACCAGGACTGGCCTCCTCTGTGCCGAACAGAGCCGTGGGACCCCCAGGCCTAACTGCATGGAGCGGCCACCTGGCCCCACCTTCACTGTACACACGGCCATCTTGTGGTGGCCATTTTGTGGCAGCCATCTTGTGATAATATCACATGAGGGTGTCATGCGAGGGTGTGATGTCACCTAGGCTTTTATTATATATAATACTGTAATAAAAGTTATGTGAATGGTTTTGGGGTCATGATTAAGCAAAATAGAGGTTACTTGAACACAAACATTGCAATACCTTGATAGTTGACCAGATAACTGCAAGTACTAATAAGTGAATATGGTCAAGGAATGTACAGTGTGGAAATGCTGTATTTGGGGATGCTTCATATCTTGGGCATGACAGAGCTGGATGGTACAATATTTCATCATGCTACTACTCATAATGATGCACAACTGCTTAAAACTTATGAAGTGCTTATTTCTCAAATTTTCCATTTAATATTTTTGGACCATGGTTGATCATGGGTAACTAAAACTGCAGAAAGCACAATCCTAGATATGGTGGGACTACTGTACATCTGAGTTGATGTTCTAGCTCCACCACTTTCTAGTTGTAGGACATCTGAGCCTCAATTTACTCATCTACAAATTGGGGTGATGAAATTGTGCCCTGCTCAACGTTCGGCAAAAAGTGAGTAGCTGCTGTTATTATTGACTGCACCTGGCTCACCCCTTTCCGCTCTTTGTCTCTCAGGTCCTCCAGGAAAACAGGGCCCCTTTGGAAGAGCTGGATTGCCTGGACAGAGCGTGAGAGTGGGTTACACCTTGGTGAAACACAGCCAGTCAAAACAGGTGCCACTGTGCCCTGCTGAGATGACCCAGCTGTGGGTGGGTTACAGCTTGCTATTTGTGGAGGGGCAGGAGAAAGCCCACAACCAGGACTTGGGTAGGTACTGACTCTGACAGCCAGACCTGGCCATCTTCCCCTCAAAAAACAAGAGTCATGCTCCTCACTACCCTAGCCCTTGGTGGACCATTGTTGGGTAGTGGGTTACAAGCACCAGCTCTAGAGTCAGACAGGTCTGCATTCTAACACTAGCTGTGTACCTGAGGACAAGTTATTCAACCTCTGCAAGCTTCTGTTCCCTTCTAAATGGAACAAGGCTCGTTCTAGTACCTAACTCATAAGGTGGTATAAGGATTACATGAATCACCCAATGTAAAATGTTTAGAACAATGCTTGGTACATATTAAATATTCAAAAATGTTAGAGATTAGTATAATAGTAGAAATAATAAGATGACCTGTGGGGCAAGGATGATTACCCAAGAATTAATTGTATTCTCTACAGGTATGATAACTCTGAAAAGTAGACTCACTCTATTAAATGCTGGTTTTATAAAGCAGATTAATTAGGGAGTCATTATTCAGTTTATAAAAATACTAGAGGCCCAGCGCATGAAATTTGTGCACTGGAAGGAGGTGGGGGGTTCCTCAGCCCAGCCTGCACCATCTCCAATCTGGGACCCCTTGGGGGATTTCTGACTATGGGATTGGGCCTAAACCAGCAGTCAAATATCCCTCTCAAAACCCATGTTCCCAATGCTGGCTCATAACCACTTTCCTTCCTGCCTGCTTGATTGCCCCTAACTACTTCTGCCTGCCAGCCTGATCGCCCCCTAATTGCTCCCCTGCCAGCCTGATTGATGCCTAACTGCTCCACTGCCAGCCTGATCACCCACAACTGCCCTCCCCTGCTGGCCCAATGGCCCCCAACTGCCCTCCCCTGTGGCCCAATCGCTTCCAACTGCCCTCCCCTGCTAACTCTGTTGCCCCCAACTGCCCTCCCCTGGTGGCCCAGTCACCCCTAACCACCCTCGCCTGCTGGTCCAGTCACCTCTAACTACCCTACCCTGCTGGCCTGATCACCCACAACTGCCTTCCTTTGCCAGCCATCTTGAGGTGGCCATCTTGTGATGATGTGGGGACAGCTATCTTGTGACAACATGGGGATGGCCATCTTGTGATGATGCAAGGGAGCAAGGGCCACCTAGGCTTTTATTAGTATAGACTATTTTCATTATCAAACTTCCCTGATGCATTGAAAATAGGATTTGATCAACAGATTTTAGTGTGTGTACAGTGTTCTAGGACAGTAAGGAGAAGTGTCCCTATTCTGGCACAAGCAGTTGGATATAAACCCAAATCACCATCCAGCCAAGTCCTAGTAGCCCTGGACATAGTCCCAGCCCTGGTCCTATCCACCTTCTCTCCTTCCAGGGTTTGCTGGCTCTTGTCTGCCCCACTTCAGCACCATGCCCTTCATCTACTGCAACATCAATGAAGTGTGTCACTACGCCAGGCGCAATGATAAGTCCTACTGGCTCTCAACCACTGCTCCCATCCCCATGATGCCCATCGGCCAGACCAAGATCGCCCAGTATATCAGCCGCTGCTCTGTGTGTGAGGCACCCTCGCAAGCCATTGCTGTGCACAGCCAGGATGTCACCATCCCGCAGTGCCCCCTTGGCTGGCACAGCCTCTGGATAGGGTACTCTTTTCTCATGGTAAGGCCTCTCTCTCCATTGTAGATTCAAGGGCAGGGATCTCTGGGAGAGTCTCCCAGACTGATTTCCAGTTTTAAGGAAGTATAAACACGGAGTAGAAACCAGAGTTTGAAAGGAAGGGCAATGGTCGGCCTGGGTTTGGCCAAAGACAAGAGAGCCCACGTTTGCATGAGTGACAGGAAATTACAGATGTGAGAAAAAAGGAGCAGTTTGAATCCAGTGGTTCAGGGTGAGAATACCTATGATCACCAGCATAAGCCCTGGCATCTTTATGCCTGCTTCAGTTATGCCATAAGCAAGGGAATGAGGAGGAACCACATAATTTGGATGGACAGTGAAGGGCAGGCTGTCCCTACTTAGGGCTGGGACACACTCTCACTGGTCAGTCTGGGCATTCCACTCCCATTCTTGTGCCCACACTCCCTCTAGCCACCTCCTCCAAAAGAACTCAGATGAGGGCATGTTGTATTTTCATGTCCTTAATGGGATTTCTGCTGCCTTGCCATTTTGATGGGAAGGCAATGGCCAGCCACTGTATCTTGATAAGAAAGAGCTGAGAACATCTGTAAATCCAAGACAGCATCAAGTCCTTCACATGACATTCCATGAATAAGTGGGTACATTAAATGAGTTAAAGATAAGGTTTAGGGACAGGATAACTCCCAGGGCAAATCAGTGTGAACCCACTAAAGTACCTGTTTTGCCAGAGCTTCTTCACTAAATCACCAGGGGTGAGGTGATGACAGAGTATCTTCAAATAATTACCAAACTGCAGTCTATGAATTGGGCAGTTTGTCCTAGTGCAAGACAGAATTACTCACCCATCAATCTTAGTTTGGTCCACTGAGCTTCCACAAGGAATGGTAGAAAAGTTATGTATGAAGTATTATGTGCTTTGCTCATGGGTGTGCTCTTAAACCCTTATTCAGAATCTCTTTACTCATACTGTAAACTTAATTCTAACATGCTACAATGTTATATTTTTCTGAAAACATGTAAGAGTGGGAATTTGGACTGCCTGTAGGGCATCTTGAGGCAATTAGACATGCCCACTAAAAGGGAGAAAAGGAGAAAACAATTCAAAGGCCACCCAAAAACTCTACAATTTGTGTCTCTTGGTACTGGGACTCTAAATTATCCTCCCTGACCAACGAAAAGCCAACATTCATAGTAACAAACCTGGGTCATCTGTAAAGTGTAAAATACAGTGTCTGCTGTTTAGTAAGGCAAGGTAATGTGTCATTCATGCTAGAAAGCCCTTCTTGAGGATCAAAATGAGAAACACTTTGATACTTCATTTATTAGGAAAGGTCATTTTTATAATGACACACTTGCCCAAAGTTCTGCAAAGTAAGGTGATACTGTGTATCCAACCTGGGTATCTGTCCCACTGGCCATTTCCTGACCTGGGTGTGTATGAGGCCTTCCCACTTCCAGTGATAGAGTGAAGTGATAGAGTGAAGAGAGGGTCTTTTGTCTATGGCAGTGGTTCTCAACCTTTCTTATGCCTCAACCCTTTAATACAGTTCCTCATGTTGTGGTGACCCACAACCATAAAATTATTTTTGTTGCTACTTCATAACTATAATTTTGCTGCTGTTGTGAATCATAATGTAAATACCTGTGTTTTCTGATGGTCTTAGGCTCTATAGCAGCGGTCGAGATCCACAGGTTGAGAACTGCTAACAGGGTCACCTAAGACCATTGGAAAACACAGATATACATTACGATTCATAACAGTAGCAAAATTACAGTTATGAAGTAGCAACGAAAATAATTTTATAGTTGTGGGTCACCACAACATGAGGAACTGTATTAAAGGGTTGCAGCATTAGAAGGGTTGAGAGCCACTGGTCTATGGATATTATGACCAAAGATTATTGGCTCATGAGTGATACTGATGAGGAAATACTGGAACTGAGTGCTTCAGGAGCTTCTTGAAGTGAGGACCAGATATTAGGTGAAATCTGAGGCCTACAAGTACATAGCAGGTAACAAACACTATATTGTAGATTGTACAGATTGAAAATATAAATTCTAATGAAGGTAAATTCAGAGCTATTAATAGATATGTTGGGGGAAGAACCAATGGTTTAAGCACTTTGTAGAATATTGCATGCTTTTTTTCCTTCTTGGTGTACACCACCTGGGGCTTGAAGTAGACGGGCTCTGAGAAGAACTGCATTCTGAAACCTATTGATTTTTTCCTTAATTCAGCCAAACACTTATTTGCCCATGGAATTGAGGGCAGGGGGCACACCAAGCATACCTCAAAACTCTGTGAGGCAGCAGCAGTTTGGGAATCTGGCTGAGATGTGGTCGCAGCCATGCACAGTGGGCTGAGTGGACACCAGGAATCTTGGAGGGATCTACTGGCCCTGAGGCTATTACAAGGGAGGATGAGCAGCCTAGGTCCAGAAATAGAGTCTTTGGTCTTCTGGTTAGACACTAGGGATGAGCCAAGGGGCCTGAGCTTACGAAGGAAACACATGTTCTTCCTGGAGCAGCAGAATGTCCATCACCTGCCATGGGCCCAGCTCACACTTCACCCCTGTCTGTTTCAGCACACTGCTGCTGGCACCGAGGGTGGAGGCCAGTCCCTGGTTTCACCTGGCTCCTGCTTAGAGGATTTTCGAGCCACTCCTTTCATTGAATGCAGTGGTGCCCAGGGTACCTGCCACTACTTTGCCAACAAGTACAGTTTCTGGCTGACAACAGTAGAGGAGAAGCAACAGTTTGGGGAGGAACCTGTACCAGAAACATTGAAAGCTGGGCAGCTCCACACACGAGTCAGCCGCTGCCAGGTGTGTATGAAAAGCCTGTAGGGTGGCCCCTGCCATTCTGCCCCTTGCTGTCCCTTCCTCCACAGAACAGCCACCTCACAAACCCAAACCAGCTGAAGAAGGAAGACCTAAACCCATTTTTCTATCTGGAATTTTGTACATTGGAGTTTCACTTGGGCTGGACTACTGGATACTGGTCACCCCAAACCTCAGGCCTAATGGGTGAGCCCACCCTGCTGAGATCTGCTGTTCCATTTCAGTCAACCTAGAGCTACTGTTTGACTTGGATATTTGCATGAACTCAGAAAGACCTGCTAGACTACCAGTTTCTTAGAAAGCTGCTAGCTTTCTTCACCATCTTGATCACAAAAATGGTTGTATAATAACGGATAAGTCATTTCTTTATGTATAGAGGTCACCACACATTACTTGGCTTAAACCAGAACCAAGTGTTTCCACATGAAAAAAAAATTACCTGGCTAAGTATTCATGGATGAGTCAGGCCTGCATAGAGCAAGCCTTCACCCTTCAAGAAAACCCACTGTGTCTAGGCAGGCAGCAGAGCTGGAATGAGGTGCTAGCCAGCAGTCTAGAATGAGCTTTGACTCCTTCGAGAGTAAACACAACTAGATCCCATATTGTTTAGGGAGGTTTGAAGGCCAGAAGCCAAGAAGGACTCATTAACTTCATATGGTCCTAGACAAATCACATCTTTCTTGCCAGCTCCCTCTCCAGGAAGAGACCTATTATTTGGCCTGGTCCACAATAGAGTGGAGGATGCACCAAATATGGCCAGGACCATAAAGAGAAATGCGAACCACAGCCCTTTCTCCCAGGCCAGGGGTAGAAGGGTGGGTGGGTAAGGCGGTGTGAATTTTACTTTTGATTCCAGGAACAAAAAGGTAAATCCCTTGTCCCAATTTCTCAGAAGTCCTTGTTTCATCCAAATGCCATCCAGATGTGTTAATGTGGCAATCTGAAGCTTGAAGTTTATTGATTCCTTTGCATTTTGAGATGTAAGAGACTTTTCATTAAAATGTCCTTCCAATTGCTCTTTTAGAGGTAGCCTGTTAAGCTATTTTAATATTTTTAAAACCTCATAAAAATCTAACACATTCTTCTCTTTAGCAGTTAGCAGACCTAAAGCAAGCCTGAGTTGACTATAAGTATATTTTGTTCTGTTTGGGGAGATTTGTTTTAACCATTTTCTTTATCAGTTTCCCAGAACACTGAGACATGTTGATATGAGGCAATTCCTTCCAGATTATTCTGCTTCCTTAAATATTATGTAAACAGTGCCAACATAAATAAAACATAATCAGTGTAATCTGAATTATTGTTATCTTCAGTAAAAAACATGGTTGTCAGTCTGTACATGGCAAATAAAAGGAATTTAACATGAACAATTGACTCGATGTTATTTGAGGAAAACTTTTCTAAAGTACATATCACTGCAATTCATGAGTCCCCCTTAGGGCTATGGGGGCTCCTGTTACTAAAAATTGAGCTTTATAACAAAACATTGAGGCATGAAAAAATACAAGTAAAGTCAAAGAGCATAAAGAGTCCTCTAATAGGCAATAAATACAAAACCTGTTTCAAATAAGCCTATAACTGCTTTTCGTCCCATGCTAGAATTCAAGAAAGGAGTTCCCATACTTCTGGTACCTCAGGATCATTTTCAAATAAATCAAAGGTAGAGAAATGCTAAAGTCATTAAAATCAAATCTAAGATATATATATATATATATATATATATATATATATATATATATATGCATATGTTTGTATAGTATAAAATATATCCATTGGAAAGATAAAAATAACAACAAGAGCATCGGGGAACTAAAATTTGGGAGGAAGCAACAATTCACTGAATACCATTTTTAATATTTTGAATTTTGAACCACTGGAATATATTACCTACTGGGGGGCAAAAAGGAAAATTTGGAATCTAAGGAAACAGTGTTATAATATTTCTAAATATATAAGAAACACAGCTTGAGTTGGTGCTAGCTTTCAAACCCCAATTGCTGGCCTTCCTCACAACTTGGTTGAGGATGCAAGTGAAATGCATACAGGTTAAGAGGGCAAGAAGAAACCACTAGGACTTGAGGTGCAACCACACAGGAGAGTTGGTGGCAACGACAATAGAAAAATGAGCTTTAAAATTTAGTATGTTGCTAGTCCTTAAAAGGTTTGGAATTGTATATGATACACAGATTAAAGGTCATCACATGAATAATTCTTTCTAATAAGGCTATTAAGCAAAATGGAGTCTAATTCAAACACGATTTTTTAATTTCCCAAACAAAAATCAATATTTTAAGTCAGTGATTGGCAAACTATAGACTGTATGTAGGTTAAATTTGCCATCCACCTATTTTTGTAAATATAGTTTTATGGTTTACAATCAGGCTCAGATTGTCTATGGCTACTTTTGTACTTCAAACAGCACAGTTAAGTAGTTAAGACAGAGACGACATGGCCTATAAAGCCTGAAACATTTACCATCTGGCCTTTACAGAAAAAGTTTGCTGACTCCTGACCTAAGCGATCATGATTTCATTTAAGGACAGGTTTTAAAAAATATTTTGTTTTACTGAAAAAAGTGTCAGTAAAGCAGGGAACAGTGACTCATTAAAATAAGGTTCCCCCCAAAAGTCAGGAGATCAACAAGTCCACATCTGACATTTCTTAGACAAAGTTTTTGATATTAATTATAATTAATTAAAATATATATTCAAATAATTTAACAAGAACTTTTTATCCCTGGTGTAATCAATTTATTATTAGAGCAAAAGAACAGACTGCTTCTTAGTATTTAGCCCAAAAGAGGTCACACCTAAAAGGGTGCGGAAGCACAGGTAACCATCTCTCATTTGCTGGTGCTTGAAGCAAGGTGGGAGTTGCTGTCTATCTTCCAGAAGTCCACCTCCTCATTTCAGTACGGCAGAGTCGCTATGGCCAAGTAAGACAAGCTGAGAAGCAAAGAATGGCTCCTAATCTTTCTGCTCCTAGATCCCATGATTGTTCTAGTTCTTTCTGGGGGAGGATTGTTAAATGTCTTTTTCTGAGAAGTGGTGATTGGCTCAGTCAGGATTGATTGCTATCAAGTTTGTATGCTGTTGGCATAACAGGCACTTGCTGACTACAAAAGTTTTATGTAATGAGTTCATGTTCTTCTGGTGCCAGATGGAAGAAAAATCTTAAGGTTGAGTTCCTACTATTTTACACACTCAGAATCTCGAAATCTTCCTCCAAGTCAAGCTCCTCTAGTTGTTCAGTAGAGTCAATGAATTCTGTGAGAATACAGAAATGAGAAAGAAGAAAAGCTTGATGTTTAAGTTAAAACGATCAATACATTACTCAGTAGAAAAGACTATGCATTTTAAAAATTTTTTCTAAAGAAAAGCTTTGGTGGAGGAGACTTATAGATAGAGCCATTGCCAAATATTAGAAATTCTCTCTAAAGCAGTGGTTCTCAACCTTTCTAATGCCACAACCCTTTAATACAGCTCCTCATGTTGTTGTGACCACCAACCATAAAATTATTTTCATTGCTACTTCATAACTGTAATTTTGCTACTGTTATGAATTGTAATGTAAATATCTGTGTTTTCCAATGGTCTTAGGTGACCCTGCTACCAGTTCTCAACCTGTGGGCCTAAGACTATCAGAAAACACAGTATTTACATTATAATTCATAACAGTAGCAAAATTACAGTTATGAAGTAGCAACAAAAATAATTTTATGGTTGGGGGTCACCACAACATGAGGAGCTGTATTAAAAGGTTGTGGCATTAGAAAGGTTGAGAACCACTGCTCTAAAGAATCAAAACAACCAGACTTGTTTCATAGTCCTTTTCACATAATGATGAGGAGGTTCTGTAAGAACTTGGAGGCACCTTTTGACTCACCCATGGCCTGTGATTTGTTGTTCTCAAGCAAATTATTTTTTTTAAAAAGTCCAGTCATTTTTATTTTATATGGAACTTTTGCACTAAGCTCATTTTCTGCTATTATCATTCTTTGACATCAGTATCAGTTCATCAGAGAATTTAAATAATCAAAGCACCATTCCTTGATTTGTCAGATGATTGCTCCTATCTCATAAACCAATTGCTACATGTGAGTTTGCTGGCTGAAGAGCTCCTGAATAACCACTTACCTGCCCCAGTGGTTGTTACCTCTGGTTTGGCTGGAGGTACAAAGGGAGGCCAGTGTGATGGATGTTTCTGAACTAATTCAAACATCCTTAAATTTTCCTTTAGAATTTCCTGAAGAGACATAAAACCAGTTATAAACACTGCAGATTCACTTTATTTCTGTCCAATTGTCAACCTATGACCCCAAGCCCCAAGAGAGTAGCCTGATTATTGAAAGGTGAAAGCAAAGAACTAGCAAATATTCCCATCCTCTATTTCACCCATCTAAAGACCCAGCCCTCTTCAATTCTAAAACTGTTGGCCAGGAGGGAAGGCCAATGGAGGGAGTATCTGATAGAAGGCCAGTACTCACTGCCCAAACTCCATCATGAGGTTCAGGTCATATGCCAGTTGCATGGACTCAACTCAATTTAGGGGCGAGATGTTCCTGAAGTGTTGGCTCCAAAGAAATGTTGGTTAATCAAATAAAATCTGCCCCAAGAGAAATACTGATACATATTGGCATGGTTTCCATTTAGTCCAACACTTACAGTATATGTTCTAATTTAAATGGTACAATCTTATCAGAAAAATTTTCTTCTAACTTTAAATGTGATGTATAGTTTTGCTGCATCGTGAAATATAAGTATTGCTTTTAGACAATAAGTATCCATTATGTCTCATCTAACTATTAACTGGGATTTTAGATTCAGCTAGGGACATAAGTGTTAATTATTTGTTTACTTGTGAAGAAAAATCTTCCCTCCTTACTTCTACAAGAGGCTTTGGGCTCCCAGCTTTCCATTCTCTTTGTTTTATAAATAGGAGAATATTGTGTCTCCTGCTATCCCATCCAGGGCCCTTTAAACTACTCCCTATGATCTCCTTTAATTTTTTTCAATAAGTGTTTGTCAATGTCTTTTACACATTTGGTATGTGTTAGAAGCTCAGGATGAGGGAGGCAGATACAAAGATTGGTGATCCAGCAAAACAATAACTATCCTTTTACACAAAATATCATCAACAAAAAGAATAGCTTGCTCTAGTATTTATACAGATTTCTCCAAATTGTCTTTCCTTTAAGTAGCAGCATGCCTAAATTTCATATAAATAAGACAGTGAATAGAAAGGCAAAACTCCTAAACCATAATAGAATACAGTACATTAAACTATAAATGGAATATAGTACATTAAATAAATAGCAAAGTAGATCAGTTTCTTCAATCATCTCAGTGTTCTGAACAGATTAAAAAAACTTAGGCTGAGCCATATGAAATTGGCATTTTTTAGGTTAGAATGGTAGAATATTAGTTAAATATTTCATGACCCATAGGCTTAATAGATAAAACAATAAGAAGCTAAAAATGTCATTCACTTGACTTACTAAGCATATTTCTAACAAAATATGTTCTTTGGTTCCCCAAAGTTATATGTAATTTACTACATCTTAGTTTCTTTCTCTTGCAGTAAAGTCATATCGGGCTAGGTTTATGTTACTATGAAAAAAGTCTTGAAAAGGAATCACATTAAATAACTTTTGTTTTTAAGACTAAGAAAAACATATATCTTTACCTTTTGAACGAGGCTACACCAGTTATCAAAGTCTTTTTCTTCTTTACAGAAAAATCCCTTGGAGGAAAGCAAAAGAACACAACTTAGAACTAGTCAGGGGCACCAAGGAAGGTCCTCCCTGTACTGAAAGATGGAGCCACTGGCCCAGAGTTACAATGTGGGATGTGGGCCACTAAACTTGGATGTGATTTCCCAACAGTTAGGAGGAATATTGGTTGAGCTTATCTCTCTCCTAGATCATTGCCTCAATTGGATACAAATATTTGCTCATTCATTCTCCCTTGCCCCTCATTCTCTCTCTTCCATCTCTCTCCCCCTCTCTCTCTCTCCCTCTCTCCCTCTCTCCCTCCCTCTCCCCTTAGGTCTCTCCATCTCCCTCTTCTTCTGTTTCTCCCATATCTCTTCTTCTCTCTCTTATTCTGTCTCTTTCTTTTTCTCCATGTCCCTTTCCCTACATATCCCTCTCCCCTCATACAGTGAGATATACTTTCACCTCATATTGTGAGATATAATAACTCAAAGCCAAATCTCCAGTGTGGGGTTAATTACATTACATTTAGTGTAAAAATATACACATCTATAAAGAAAAGTCAATTAAACCAGTAAACAAGATCCAAATAGCATTTTTAGTTAGAGGCAATATTTAATAAGGTGATTTTACTTTAAGGAAATTATTAGAATAAAGGGAACCATCAGCCTTGATCTCCATCCTCAGAGCTATCATATAGTAGTAAAAGAATGGTCCATTTTTTAAATTAAGGTATTATATGTGTACATATCTTACCATTGCCCCTCACCCCCCCAGTGTTTTGTGTCCATTGGTTATGCTTATATGCATGCATACAAGTCTTTCGGTTGACCTCTTATCTCCCACACCAAGAAAAAAAGAAGGACTTTTTGGATACTGGTGCCTTGATAATTAGAAGAAAGGATGCAGACAGGCTTCAGAACCACTGGTACTTCACAGTCACTGCCCCTTTAATGTGTGTAGACAGCAGTCATACTACTGGGGGTGGGAGGGGCTGCAACTTCCTGGATAGTGTGCCCAGAGAAACTGGCACTGACTACCCAGCATATCTTGCCTCCTTCTCCTCCCTACTGATAACTTACATTATTCCCTTGCCCTGTGTGGCAATAATTAGAGGGTGAGAAGGAAAAGTGTGAAAGATAGTAACACTAATAATAACTAACATTTATAGAATAGTCACAATGCCCTAGGCACTGTGTTAAGTGCATTATGCACAGCATACCTCACACAACCCTACAAAGGACTCAGAAAGGAATAGGGACTCCCCCTTAAGTCAGTTGCTAGTAAGTGGTGGGGCTTGAATACCAACTTGAGTAGTTTGGCTTTAAGATCCACTCATTCCTCACTATTCCACACTACCTCTCATGGGGGTGGTAAGTTAATATACTCTGGCCACCCTACCTAGATACTTGGAAAATACCCATGGAACCAATCTATAATAGGGCGGCAGTGTATCTCATGGCCCACCCAACCTTCAGACACCCACCAATGCCACAGAAGGATCCAAGTTCAGAATATTCATTCGCTGTGGTGACTGCAGACAATGGAAAGTCTGGTCATCAACGGTTCCATCCTCTTCAGTGTCAACAAAGGTCTGAGTTGTGTGAGGGTCCAGGAAAATGAGCTCATCACCTGTTGGAATGAGGTATGTTTAACCTTCAAAGAACACCGGCCCTGGCTCCACTGTTGTCCTTGGGAGGAGGTGCTCTAGTTTCCCTAACCCCTCCCTTGGTGACAATGAAAATGAGATGATAGAAAGCCTGAGTTAAGGTGAGCATACCTAAGAAGCCACCCACACTCAAATCTAGACATTCAATGAGAAGACTTGCCCTAGCATTCACATCTCCTTAAAGTCCAACTCCAAAAATGGAAAGCAACAAATTTGGGAAAAGGTAGAGATGAGAGATCACAGATGACATGGCAAGCTCTGTGAGCAGCAGTAGCAAAGAGGTGGTAGGTAGAACCACCAGGCTGTGAGTTCCGGTGCCATTGGGGGTTTCCTGCCTCTTTTAACATTGGAAAGCATCTAGTTAGAGACCATTGGTTCTCAGAGCTATAGTCAGAGAGCACACCTAGTAAAGAGAAAGGCCTTGGCCTCCAAAAGAAATGGGGATTCTGGCTTTGCTGTGGATGAGATACCAGGAAGCTGACTTCTGGTATTGATTAGCTAGCAAGTTAGTCCTTGTTAGCAAGTTAGTAATCCCTGTTGGAAAGCACTGTCTTGGTCCCATTAACATCTTTACAGATATACCTTGCAGGGAAAACTCACTTCGAGATTATCAATGTTTACAAATAAGAGAAACACCTGCTTCATTAAATTGAAGAAGTCTAGCCCAATAATTACCTGGGAGGGGTTTAGGATAATAAAATCTCTACTTTTCAAAGGGATAAGAGTTGCCCTAATGCTCACCAGTGGCGTACTGAGTAGGATAAAGTATCTAAGGGAACACCCTAACCTCACTGTACAGGCCTGAGAATCATCTAGGCTTCTATGTTTTAAACTGACTTAGGCAACCAAAGAAAGACTTGCCTATAGCAGGAGGATGGGCTGGGAAGGGATGCCCTAAAGACCTTTCCTGGATTTGCATCCAGAAGTGTAATGGGCACATCTAAGTGCTTCTGTTGGAAAAGAATGTGTTTCTGATGTCTGATGAAAGCTCAACTTATCTCATCACAGATGTAGGACAAGCCTATTAAATTACTGTCTTAATTTTTATATTTTTAAATTGGGGTCATTGGGCCTGCTCCAGTGACCTCATAGGGTATTATAAGAATGAGAAGAATTCACCTCTGTGAAATGCCTAAAACACAATATAAATACAAGTAAGTCATATAAGTATCTTGCTTAAATATAAAAGTATTTCTCTATAAATAAATGTTGAAGAGTATGTGAAACTCAATGCTGCCATATGATTTATTTTATAAAAGTCAAGGTACATGTTCCCTCAGACTACAGGTGGGTGACATTGATTATATCAAAAAGGCTTCAAGTTACAATGAAGAGCAACAACCAGGATATTTAGAGCAAAGCCTAAGAGGTAAGCTGAGAAGGAAGTTGTACACAAGAAAATACAAATCCAAAGCAGGGTTATAATTAAGCATCATTCTTCCAGAATGTTTCTAATTAAGCTTCTGAGAATAATAGCAGTGTCCTTTCTACCTGTGTGCCCTGTTTCCAAGAGTGCTTACAAGAGATATAGTAACCTTAGCTGAGATCCTTCCAAAATTATTTTCCAATCTGTGTCAACATTGTCCTCAAACACAAATAATAATAAATAGCTTTTTGTAGCACTTCTTTGACAGTTATCCAAAAACTTATAAACAGGAGACATTGAAATTTATATAACTAAGTTTATGTACTTAGAAAAATATAAGCCCCCCAATTTTCCACCAAGCTGTAGTTCATAGGCTTGGGCAATAGATGGCAGCATTAGAGAGATCTGAGGCAACTGTATAGAAACACTAGTCTTAAAGAAAGAAAAAGGAAAGAAATGCTGAGGGTGGAGTCACCTTTTATTGAGTATATACTATATGCCCACCTCTTTGCTGAGTGCTCTATCCTGATGTGACAATATGGTGAGTGAGGTGTTAGCCCCATTTTCCATTAAGAGGAACCTGAGACTGAAAGAGTTGTTCTCTTCTGGAGGTCACACAGCTAGCAAGTGGGAGACTAGCATACAACAACAGGTATGTTTGTTTTCACTCCACATCACCTCCCTGAATCTCCAAGGAAATGCTGGAGGATGACCACGCCTACCTCACCCTGTCCTCTGTATGTCCTTCATACCATCCCCCATTCCTGCTCTGGCTCTTCCCTGCCAAAGTAAAGCTGTCCCTCGCAATATTCTGCAAGGTCCAGTTTCAGACCACTCCATTCTTGTGAGAGGTGTCCGGTACCAAATTTCCCTAACCACATCACTCCCTTTCTGGTGCTCTTCAGCACTAACCAGGTGTCTAGGCCCTTGGTACTCAAAGTGTGGTGTATATACCAGCAGCACCAGCACTATCTAACTAGAAATGCAGAATCTCAGGGTCTATCCCAGACCTACCAAACATGTATTTTAAAAAACTCTCAAGGTGATTCTTATGCATATTAAAATTTTAGAAGCACTGGACTAGTTCACCTTGTGTGCCAAGGGCCTTAAGTATCTCTGGTAATAACTAGTGGATAAGGTGGTTGGGTTTCCAGAGGTGTCAACCTAGGCAGGGAATGTCAGTCTACTTATTAGGGTCCATATCAGATTAGTGGTTTTAAAGCTTAGCCCCCATTATCAGAAAAGGGATATCTGTCTTTGCCTCTTCTAATTCCCACTGAGTCATGGCTCTGAACAATGAGCCTGCAGGCCCAGCTGCATGGAGCTGGGAAGGAAGAGGATGGCCCCTGGCCTAAATGCCTGAGCCCCAGTAAGACAGAGATCAATAAGACCAGAAGAGTGACACTCTACCACCCTGGGCCCCATAGAAAAAAGAGAGATGAGCTGAAGCAATGTTGTGACCTTGAGGTGGTCCTGTAGGAAAGCAGTGTGAAGTCATCTTATAAACAGTCAAGGAAGTGGAGACAATCAAGGGGGATCTGCTCTGTCAGGCATACAGAAGTATTACTCTCCACAGATCAGGCCAGAGACAGAAAGAGCTGACAAGAGACCACAACATCTCCAGGCTAGACTAAGCCCCCTAATTGAAATTGCCTGGTCTCCCATGCAAATTTTCTGCCCACCCTCCCTTAGCCCATAATGACTTACTTGAGATTCCTCTTTTCTTACCTAAGAATCCTATGAAATAATAGGCGTTATTTGGTTTTCCTCCTAATGCCCCTAAAGACTGTGGCATCTTAAAACACTCCTAGAGGGAAAGAGAATGTAAGATTCTCAATTCACTTGTGGACTGCTGCTCACGGATCTCTGTGCTCACATGGTGATGTGATGGGCAGGCAACAATGGGCTCGGAAAAAGGAGCGACTTACTTTGAATGCATCAACATAGACAGGATTGATTTGATTTATGCCCAGGCGGAGGGGCACAATGAGCAGCAGGGGTTTCCAGGCTGGGCAGCAGGCAGAGGTGGCCTTACTGTGGTTCGAAGCATTCAGAGAATTGGGAGGACTCCCACCATCTGTATCAGTACTCAAGGGAAGGATTCGGCACATTTTTTCTAGAAACAGAAGACAAGAGAGCTGGGTAAATTAGGGGTACCCAACCCTAACAGGTAGGACAAGGTCAAAACTAAGGAAGATCTCACATGACACCCCCTGCCTAGAAGGCCTTTGTCTCTGTCTGCCACCAGGACCCAGATCATCCCACTTCCCACAGGAAGCCCAGGCCACTCTTCTAGCCTTTAATTCTCTTCCTTCTTGCAATTGAGCACTCCCTTACCTCCTGTCAGATATCATGGGTTCATTGAGAGAATCTCATTTCTCAACTAGTATGAAAGGGCCTTTGGGAGAGGGACTGCATATTTTGGTTTCTCTAACCCATGATGGGAAACACAGGGCTAGACTAAGGAACAGTTTCCTCAGAAGACATGTTGGTGGTTTAACTAATTATCCACACTGGGGTGTCTTATAAGGAAAAGGTCTGGTACTGCACTGAGGAGCAGCAAAGATCCTCTAATTGTTTTCTTCCTTTCATAAAGCTGATAGGAAAGAGAAAAAAGGAGTGCAGGGGATGATTACCCAGGGTCCTGTGCTTCCCTAAGCTCCGTTGCCCTGATGGGGCAGGCTAGAGTCAGTGTGCATGTGTAAGTGTGAGTGTGTGCGTGTGCGTGTGCGTGTGTGTGTGTGTGTGTGTGTGTGTGTGTGTATCTGTCTCTCTGCCTGTCTGTGCCTCTATCTGCCTGCATATCTATCTATCTATATCTCTCTCTTACCCCTGATTTCTGAATGGTGAGGAAGGACCTCATAACCCACAACCCAGAAAGGTAAACAGACTGTGGACTCACTGATATCTTCAATTACCACTGTGTTATCCATTGAAACATAAACAGCCAAGGAATTCCATTCGTCAAATAAAGCAAGTTTTCTGCAAAGCAACAGACAATGAAGTCACAATTGAGGAAGATGGAAATATCAGCAGGAAACAATGTAATCCATGCCTAGTGTTCCTGAAGTCACTGAACACTGAGCCTCAGAGAGGTTGGGGTTCAGGTTAGCTTTGGATTCTTCAAGTGAGCTCTGGAATACTCCATGTTTAAGGACCTTGAGTATGCCACAAAGTCACAGTTTCTGAATCTTGAAAAGGATGCCCTACTTCACAAAATGGAAAAGTCTACCTCACAAGATGATGTTACTCCTCTTGGGTTAAAGAGAAGAGTTTCAAATGCATCTGCTTCCAATAAGTTTTGTTTTCTTTCCTTAAATAAAATATATTCTGATTTATTGCTTTACTCAGTAAATGGAAACTGTATATATATATATATATATATATATATATATATATATATATGCACACACACACTATTTATATATATATTTGTTTGGGAGGAGAGATAATACAGATAATACAACCCAGGAAAATCCAGAGAGACGGAGATAAAGAGAGACAGAGAGAAACAGGTGATTGCTCATATCCATCCCCACATGCCTTGAGAATGCTGTGCTTCAAGTGGTTTTGGATTCATGGCTGAAGATAGAGAACATGTTGAGTTGCATGACCCAAAAGATTAGAAATAAAGCCCCTTTGAGAGCATATCTGAGGTCTGAGCAAAAAAGTACCATGATTATTTCTCCTTTATCTTCTCTTCTTGCCAGTTTGAAAGAAAACAAGTTTAACCTGGCTACTCTGAGATTCCTGGGTAAAGTCCAGTCTCTCTAGACAAAAGAAAAAAACATTCTCTCCCAAACCATGGTAGCTATCAGAAAGAGGTTAATTACTATTATACTTTTATTTTACTCATTTTAACATATTATCTTCCTCAAAAATAATGAGGAAGAAAATAGAAAATGGTTGCTGAATAGGCAGCAGTGTTGTCCACCTCCTAGGACCAGGCTGAAAAAGCAACTAAATCGAAGAACATCCACCCTGAATGAACAAATTAGACACAGTTGAGACAATTGTCAATAAGGAAGGGCAGAAGATGCCTAGAGAATGCCGCCTGACAGCCATAACAAGCATGGAACTACCACCGTGCCCAGGCAGTGAGTGGTGCAGTACCTACCAGCAGGCTCCCAGGAGTCTGCAGGGAATGTGCACTGCCAGAGTGAGCTCCTGCACGAGGGACTCAGCATCCTCACTAGCCTGCAGGGACCCAGCATCCTAAGATCCAGCTCCAACACCTCATAGTAAGTGCAAGCCAGGGGGAATCCTATGGCCCACCCATTCCCCGGAACCCAGAACTGAGCTGTTTGCCTGACCCAGAACAACCCAGCATCTGCTCAACCACAAGCCCCAGGTCAGGGAAACCCTGAGCATGCCCCACTCCGGGCAATAGGAGAGCAGGGACTGTGTGACCCAGAGCAACTGGTACCCGCTTCATCCTGGCCCCCTGGACAGCCCTGATGGGGTGACCCGGGCACTGCATGGCCACTTCATGTCATCCTGGGAGGGGCGAACCACAGCAACCCAGTGCATACCTCACTTAGATCAACAGAATAGCTCAGAGCAACCCACACCTTCTTTCTCCTGGGCCCTGGGACAGTCCTGTAGGGCCTACTCAGAGCAACCCAGCACAAGCCTCACTCCAGACCACAGAACAGTGCTACCAGAGTGACCCAGAGCAAATTGGGGTGCCCAGCCAAATGTCAGAGGACCTCACTGCAAGAGCACTGCCAGAGGGACAGAGTGCAACCCTGCTATGGATGCCAAGGCTGCACTGTGAATTACATGGCAGAGGGCTCTGGATCCTCACTGGGAATCACACACCAGAGAAACTATGTACGTGCTCCCACCACTACAAGCATCTGAAACAAACAACTGAGGGTCCAGATCTGAGGGAGAAGGGGACACAACTCAGAGCCTAGACAATAAAGGTATGAGACTCAAAGTAGTCCCAGCCACTGGGCTAATGATTTCAAGACCATTTTCCTGATAGGGTCTTTAACCTCTCAAACTCCAAGCAAGGTACCCAGAGCCAGAAAGACAGCAAAATGGGGAGATTAAAAAAAAAAATAACCCCCAAGGAAAGAAAAGGCTGAATTGCCAGAAAAGGAATTAAATGAAATAGAGACATGTAGTATTTCAGGAAAATAATTTAGAGTAAGGGTCATACAGTTCATAAACAGGATAGATGAGAAAATCAATAACTAATATAAGAATCAAGAATAAATAAAAATTATATAGCTACAACAAAAAACACAATGTAAGGTTTCAACAGTAAACTAGAAGTGGGGGACAAAATTAATGTGTGAGAAGGCAGAGCAGGAAAACACACACACACACACACACACACACACACACACACACAATCTGAAAAGCAATTAGAGAGAGAAAAAATTAGGAAGCCTAGAAGGAGAGCCAAACGGAGCTTTGGGAAAACATAAAAAGTTATAACTTCCATATAATAGGAGTGTCCAAAGGACAAGCAAAGGAGCCAGGATTACAAAATCTATTTGAAGAAATAATGACAGAAAACTTCCCTGATTTGGGGAAGAAAAGAGTCAGAGTCCCAGACAAGATGAACCCAAAAAGACCTACACCAAAAAACATAGAGTGGGAGAAAAGGGCGAAAGAATAGACAGATGTGTTCTGAGCCTTATACCAGAGCAAAAAGAAAGAATAGCTGAGGGTCGCAGGGGGAGTGTTTGTTAGCAAGTTAAGGGAGAGCTGAGCTCCAGGAGAAGGTGGGACTGCTGGATGGGGTTCCCCTGACAGGGCAGCCCCCACTGCAGCTGGGTTCCCTCCCAGAGCTACGGGCTAGGATGGGGAAACTTCGCCATCTTGAAAGGGAATATGGATCTTGTTGGAGGCCTGAAAATCCATAACAGCGGTGACTGCCAAACATCTGTGAGCCACAGAACACCAGTTCCCAAGTAGTGTGGACGCTTGGACTCAAAGGAGCTCTTTATTCCAACACAGAAAGGAGAGAGAGAACTACATAACCAGACATCAGAAGAAGAGAGACCCTGGGGAGACAAACAAGAAGCCCACATATGAAAGAAAAATAGGCATGATCAGAAAGGGAAGTAAACAAATTAGAGGCAAGCAAATTATCAGAGAAATAATTCAGAGAAATGGTCATAAGGTGGATAAAAAGAATGGAAGACAAATTCGACAATATGAGTAAGAACCAAGAGGAAATGAAGAATCAAGAAGAAATGAAAAATGACATTGCTGCTGTAAATAACTCAATAAAAAGCATCAAGAGTAGAATAGAAGAAGCAGAGCAGCTTCTAGAAAAAAAAAAATTTTAAAGCAGGAGGAGAGCCTAAGGGCACTTTGGGAAAACACAAAACAAAACAATATTCGCATAACAGGGGTTCCAGAAGGAAAGGAAACTGAGCAAGGAACAGAAAACCTATTTGAAGAAATAATGACAGAAAAATTTACTGATATAGGGAAGAAAAAACCCACACAAGTCCAAGAAGCTCACAGAGTCCCAAGCAAAATGAACCACGAAAGACCAACGCCAAGGCACATTATAATTAACCTAGAGGCCTGGTGCAGGAAATTCATGCATGGGGAAGGAGGGTGTCCCTGAACCCAGCTTGAACCCTCTCCAATCTGGCACCTCTCGAGGGATGTCCAAATGCCTGTTTAAGCCTGATCCCAGTGGTCAGTCAGATATCCCTCTCTGTTAATCCAGGACTGTTAGCTCCCAACTGCTCGCCTGATTGCCTCTAACCACTTCTACCTACCAGCCTGATCATCCCCTAACCACTTCCATGCCAGCCTGATTGATGTCTAACTGCTCCCCTGCCAGCCTGTCTGCCCCCAACTTCCCTCCTCTGATGGCCTGGTCACCCCTAACTGCCCTTCCCTGCAGGGTTGATCGCTTTCAACTACCCTCCCTTGTAGGCTGGTCCCTCTCAACTTCCCTCCCTTACAGGCCTGGTCCCTCCAAACTACCCTCCCCTGCTGGCCATCTTGTGGTGGCCATCTTGTGTCCCCATGGGGGCAGGATCTTTGACCACATATGGGCAGCTATCTTGATCTTGTGTGTTGTAGTAATGGTCAATATGCATATTACTCTTTTATTAGATAGGATACAGGCCAGGTGCATGGGCTGGCTGGTTTGCTCTGAAGGGTGTCCCAGATCAGGATAGGGGTTCCCTTGGGGCATGGAGAGGCCTGAGGGGGGCCTATGGTGGTTTGCAGGCCAGCCACTCCCCCTGGTGACCCAAGAGGAGACGCTGGTATCTGGAATTTATTAATGTTCTACAATTGAAATGTTGTAGCCTGGAGCAGAGCCAAGCCTCCTGCTCCACTCCTGCTCTATCTGTGGCTGCCACCATTTCTATAATTGAAACTTTGTATCCTTGAGTGGAGGCTTGGGCCCAGCAGAGTGTGTGGAAAGCTTGGCTTACTCTGTTACTGGCGAAACCTAACCCTCCCTTCTGGTAGCAATCTTGGTTTGATTTATTTGCATACTAGTGAATGTGGGTGTAGTGGAGTTGTGGTTAATTTGCATATTACTCTTTTATTATGTAGGATTGGCAAACACCAACGACAAAGTAAGAATGTAAAAAGTGGCCAGAGAGAGACAGAAAGTTACATACAAAGGAACCTCCATCAGACTAGCAACTGATTTCTCAATAGAAACTCATCAGGCCAGAAGGGAATGGAAAGAAATATACAAAGTCATGCAATGGAAGGATCTGAACTCCAGAATACTGTACCCAACAAGGCTATCAATCAAAATTGAAGGCGAAATCAGGAGCTTCACAGACAAAAAAGGACTAAGGGAATTTATTACCAACAAACCAGCAATGTAAGAAATGCTTAAGGGTCTGCTGTAAAAAAATTTAAGAAAAAAGAAATAGGAAGTAAAGAAGGAACACAGGGGTAAAGAATAAACATGGAGACCAATAAGTACCCATCAATTATAATTTAAATGTAATATGGATTAAATGCCCCAAACAAAAGAC